GATGGACGTCTGTGACAGATGTTTTCCCCAACGCCAGCTCACCATTAGCATGCGCAGGAAGTGAATTGCATGCATTGCTGTGATGCATCCAGAAGATTGTGTCTGTTCTGCTAGTACGGAGCCTCTGTGTGGAGACTCCAGAAACATGGGGGAACATGGAAAACAGACACCAAAATTGGTCCCCTGAAGATCACCCACTGACCCTGAACTGTGGGTCTCAACAGAAGGGGGATTGTAGCAGAGGATGCTTGGTTTCAAGAAAGGCAACCTGGGCCAGGTGCAATTACTCAGTTGGCTGATCCTTCCCCTGTAAGTGCCAGGATCCCATATGGACCCTGGTTTGTGTCCGGCTGCCCCAGTTCCCATCCAGCCCTCTGCTTGTGGCCTGGGAAAGCAGTAGAGGATGGCCCAAAGCCTTGGGACCCTTCTGTGCCCACATGGGAGCTACTAGTTCCTGGCTCCAGGTTGGCTGAGCTCCAGCCGTTGCTGCCACTTGGGAAATGAACCAGCAGATGGAAGATCTTTCTGTCTCTCCTCTCCATAAATCTGATCTGCTTTCCAATAAAAATAAATAAATCTCAATAAAAAGGTGAGAGAGCAAAGCAACCTGTTTTGTTTCAGTGTTGCGTCGATTTGCGGTGAGGACAGAAGCTCAACTCCTGGTGCCATCACTGTTGCCCTCCCAGGCTCTGCCCACATCGGAGACCAGACGTGGAGCTGCAGACATGGACCCTGCCCAGGCACTCCGATGTGGCCCTGGGCATCCTAACCAGCAACTCAATCGCCAGGACAAGCATCTGCCCCCAGCAGCCTGGGGATGGGGGCGGGGCTCTCACAGACCTGATGCCTACCCTTCTGGAGGTTTGTATGGACTCAGACCCTCCTTAGCTCTCCCCTTCCTGACAGGGCTCTCCCTCCCCTTCCTGCCTAGGGGCCTGGCTCCTGCCTGGCTCCCTGTCTCTCTCTGTTATGTTCTCTTCCTTCCTCCTTCAGCTGACGCTTTCTGGTGGGTGTGGTGGTGTGGCAGCCTCTCCCATGGCTAATTCAGGAGTCTTGGGCTCTGGTGCTGTGCACAGATCTGTGATCTCAGAGCAAGTACCTGCTCCCCCAGCTGAAAAGGCAGCTCAGGACCTGTAGGCTCAAAGAAGTGGGCCCAGCATGAGGCACCCTCCCCTCCTCACCAGCCTACCTCCAGGGACACCTCTGGAGTCCCCTGGGCTCCCCCTGTCCCTTTACCATCCTTATCCCCTCCAGGGGGCACCACAGGGCTGGCCAAGAGTGTCCTGGCTGAGCCAGGGGCAGCCGCATGAATGAGTTCTCAGTGTCTAGACCAGGCACAGGGGCAGACTTCCGACAGCCACCAGAGGCGCCCCTCCAAATACCAGCAAGGAAAACCCTTGCTTTGTTCAGTGCCACTGGGTGCCAAGTAATCTTTATTTAGTCCTCCAGAGTTGGGCAGTTGAGTCTCCATTGCAGCAATGAGGCCTGTTATCCCGGGATGGTGGCTGCAGAGGGAGTGCCTCTGCATCTTCCCTCAGAAGAGAACCACAGCCAGAGTCTCCGCCTCCTCCCCCCCCCCAAGTCACATCTGGAGACTCCAGGCACCTGGACACATGGCTGCCAGGGGACTGAGACTCAGCCATCGCTCTGCAGCATAGGAGCGGGGTGAGGGGTGGAATGGGGGTGTGCGACCAGGCTCAGTGTGTCACCACCCCAAAGACTTCTTGTACCTAGGAGGGAATGATTCTGGCCCAGGCTGCTCCACTTCCCATCCAGCTCCCTGCTCACAGCCTGGGAAAGCAGTGGAGGACCTTGGACCCCTGCACCTGCGTGGGAAACCTGGAGGAAGCTCCCGACTCCTCGTTGGTTAAGCTCTGGCTGTTGTTGCCATTTGGGGAATGAACCAGCAGATGCAAGATGTCTCCCTCTCCTCTCTGTAAATCTGATCTGCCTTTTCAATAAAAATAAATAAAAATCTAAAGAAAAAAAAACATGATCAAAGAACTGTGTGAAAGTTACAAAATAGTATAAACAAAAAAGCAGTTGTAACCTAAATAACAAATAGTATTAAAATATAGGATATTCAATGACTTTCTGAAGTAATTTCAATGGCATCCAAGGTCTTATAATATGTTAAATCAACATAGTGAGACGTCAACTCCTTGTGCTGAGGATCTAGGTAAGGGCAAAAGTTATATACTATGTGCTTCAAGAAAAGCCAGGATAACTAAGACAAGCTTTCCTTTCCTGTGACATTGAAACCAAATCCCCGTATGCTGACTTTGGTGCACATCCTGGATACTATTAGGCCCTAGTCTTCCAGTCTGTCTGTCTCCATCATGTAGGTTCAAGCTTCTTTGCAACTATACCTCTTACTAAAATTAAGTCAGTAATTTGAGTGGTGCCTGAGGTTCAGCTGGCTCACACCAGGTCATTCACCTCTCTGTAGATACCATCTTGATGTTTTGTCTTCTCGTGTTTCTATCAAGACCCTCATACCCCACAGCAAAAGTAATGGCCACCTGACTAACTAAAGCTCACTTTGCCATCCTCGGAACTTCCAAAAGAACTTGATGCCACATGTCAGCCCAATCAGGGACTGTTGAAAATCCAACTCTCAATCCCAGGTTCAATCATACAATCCCCTTGAAGAGTCCAGAAATAACACGAAAGCTGTGCAAGTCCTCGCTTGTTGTTCTGCAGAGAAGCACCTGCTCTTTTCCTGCATCCATGCATCAGTGAGTGGTTTGCTGTGACCAGGTGAGCAGACTCAGGTGTTAGGAGATCCATCACAGAATTTGGACCTGCTAACCTCATGTTGTAAGGTCAGTGTTTACTGCTTTTGTCATAGCAATCTGATAGTTTTGTGGAAGAGCTGCGCATACCATAGTACCACTGGGTGTTCTTTGAGTGACGCTGAGGAAGGCAGTCCCATCCACTGCAGCCCTACCATCTGCCGGGCTCACTGATGGCTTCCTGACACCCACTGCTCTCCAGCGATGTGGAATGTGTCACTGCTCTTTCAGCACTGCAGACTGGGACCAGCTTTACGTGTGTATTCCTTCAGCTCGGAATGCTCTTTCTCTCCTAGTTACTCATTCTTCTAAATCCTCATCAAAGGTTATTTTTAAAAAGATCTATTTTTTATTGGAAAGTCAGATATACAGAGAGGAGGAGAGACAGAAAGATCTTGTATCTGCTGGTTCACTCCTCAAGTGGCCACAATGGTCAGAGCTGAGCTGAAGCCAGGGGCCAAGAGCCTCTTTCAGGTCTCCCCTCAGGTGCAGGGTCCCAGTGCTTTGGGCTATCCTCGACGGCCTTTCCAGGCCACAACCAGGGAGCTGGTTGGGAATTGGGGCCACTAGGATTAGAACCAGTGTCCATATGGGATCCCAATGCATGCAAGGTGAGAACCTTGGCCACTAGGCTACCATGCTAGGCCCATCTTTATTTTTTTTTAATATTTACTTATTTTTATTGCAAAATCAGATTTATAGAGAGAAGGAGAGAGAAAGATTTTCAGCCTCCTGATTCACTCCCCAAGTGGCTGCATCCAAAGCCAGGAGCTTCTTCTGGTCTCCAACATGAGCATAGGGCCCAAGGTTTTGGGTCATCCTCCATTGCTTTTCCAGGTCACAAGCAGGGAGTTGGAAAGGAAGTGGGGCAAGCAGGACACAAACTGGTGCCCATATGGGAACCTGGTGCATGCAAGGTGAGGACTTTAGCCACTAGGCTACCGTGCTGGGTCAAGGAACACCTTAAGGCTTTTGTGGGCTCCTGCCTTTGTGCTCTGTAATTGTTCTCTAGCTGCTAATGCATTTATCACAGGGTTATGGGGCTCATTTGTAAGTTTGCCTCTTTTGTCAGATTGTGATCGTGGCTGGGGTCCTGTGTATCATCGCTACATAGCACGTGGGTTACTCAGTGGCTTCTAAATAAAGCAATTAAATTTTTATTTTTATTCATTTTTTTTCATACAGCGTCCAACAACTTAACAGATAAAATGGACTAGTGGTAAAATTAATCACAAAGAAAAGAGTGTCTGTGACCATGGCGCCTGAGCTCACAAAAGGGATGGTGTCCCATTTCCGTAGCCATGACTATTCTCTTTCCTCTAATTATGCCCTATTTGCACCCAGGCATTTTGTCTGGACATGTCAGATGGGACAGGGACAGAGGAATTTTTATAAACATTCCTGAAGTCTTTTTGGTCAATGGTATACAGTGTTTCCTTTCCAGTGACATGTGAAGGGTGTATCGCCCAGGCTGGTTACTGTTAGGGGGGAAGGAAGGAGTTACCATGCCTGGGAACAATCAGAATAGAATCTGGAACTTTCAAAACAGGCTCTGTAACCTCCCACCCCTGTGTCCTGATCGTAGCCTAGGAGGTGACCCGCAGGGAGAGGGGAACAGTGTCTGGGGAAGGCTGTGTTCAGTGATCACACCGCTTTGTAAAGTGGTACAGATAGGATGGAAAGAGAGATAGAGCAAGTAAGAGAGAGAGAAACCTGGCCTGTGGCCCAGTTTAGGGTGAGGTGGACCAGATGGATGTCACACATACAGTGAACTGCACAACTGGGGAGAAATACTGAGCTCAGGGACTCCACCACTTTTATAGCAAAAGCAATACGCAAAATTGTTCTTTGTCTGGAAGGGTGACATTATTTTTAAGGTTGCTTTCTGCAACACGACCTTAGAGAATGATGAGGCTCTTGCATAGCTAGGAAGATGTGTAAGAACACAGCAGCCTCCAAGAGGCGTCTCCAGGAAATGCCCTCTAAAAGTATCGGCACGTTCAGCTTCCGTGGTGAGGACTGACACTTAGAAGAACAAAATTATCTAATAATTCTAATGAAATCAGACGGTCTCTTGGGAGAAGTTACTCCCTTAAGCGATACTTAGTATCCTCTGCTTAGTGAACAACAAATGCAGTATTTTTCTTTATGATCTGTAGTTTGCTTCTAAAATCAGAAAGTTGTCTTTCAGAGTCCTCTGATAACCTAATTTCCTTTTTTTCTTAGATATTCTCCTGAAAGAAAACACAGCATGGTTATTATTTTTGAGCAGCAAATTTATCCATCCATTCACTTATAGGTCCACAAGCATTGCTGGGGTGACTACCACGTGCTGGACCTGCACTGGGTCCTGGATTTACAAGGATGGCTGTATAGTGAAACTGTAGTTCCTGCCCTCCTTGGGTTCATGGGTAGGGAGACTGACACAGACATCTGTTTTATGATACAAGAGTAAATGTCACAACAGGAGTGTCCTGGGTATGAGTTGGTTCTCCATGCAAAGATGGATGCATTGTTGGATAAAGGAAACAGGATAGCAAAGGGTTCAGGAAAACAAAACAAAACAAAATGACCCAGATTTAAAACTGATCCTGGCCCTTCATCTTTCTTTTTATTAGAGATTTATTTATTATTTTTATTGGAAAGGTAGATTTTTATTGGAGAGACAGAGAGATTTCCCATCTGCTGGTTCATTCCCCAAATGACTGCAACAGCTGGAGCTGAGCTGATCCAAAGCTAGGGGCCTCCTGTGGGTCTTCCATGTGAATGCAGGGTCCCAAGGCTTTGGGCCATCCTCCACGACCTTCCCAGGCCATAGGCAGGGAGCTGGATGGGAAGTGGAACAGCTGGGACACAAACCAGCACCCATATGGGATTCCAGCACTTGCAAAGCAAGAATTTAGTCACTGAGCTATTGTGATAGGCCATTTAACATGATAATAGTAATAAAAACACCTCACTCATCAAATATCTTTTAAAAATGCTTTTTTAAAAAAATTGATTGTTGTATATTACCTAGCTTGCCTTCCTCTATTGCAGTCATGACAGATCAAAAGCCAGGAGAGTAGGGAGGAACTAAATAGCCAAGGAAATAGACTCCTGAAAAGCAAACTGCAAGACAAATTATTCAGAATGAGTCAGCCTGAATCATCAGTCTGTTAAAGATTTGCCAGTAAAGTTTCATAGGAAGTTCTCATGAGAACCAATAGAATGCCCAAATCACAAAAGCTACCAATACCCCAATCTATGTCTGTCAAAAACAAGGTCCAGTTCTTTACCATATGGATTCAGTTAGAGTGAGGCAGCCTTTAAATGAAGAAACTAGGAAACTTGGTTGGTGTTTGAGGGAGTTAAATCTATCTGCCAACTGCATTGGAAATGATAAGAAAGTTAAGTTATAGTTCTCTGATGCAATAAAAAGTCACAAGATGGGCTCAAACTTCTCTTCTTTTTCAAAACCCAGTTGGAGTTAAGGATGTCAGTGTTTTGCTATGCTTTGTTTTAAAGATTTATTTGAAACAGTTACAGCGAGAGTGGGAGAAACACAGAGATCTCTTCCATCTGTTGATTCACTTTCCAGACAGCTCCAACAGCCAGGTCTGGGTCAGGTCAAAGCCAGGAGCTAGGAGTTTCATCCCGGTGTCCCACATGGGTGGCAGAGGCCTAACTACTTGGGCCTCTTCAGCTACTTTCCCAGGTACTAATTTAACAGGATGCTGGATTAAGTAGAGGAGCTAGGGACTTGAAATGGCACTCCAATACAGGACATCCATGCTGCAAACAGCAGTGCCATCCACTGTGCCCCAAGTGCAGCCTCTTTCACTTTGACCAGATACCTGGCCTGGATCTATGTGTTTCTGTTCTACCTTCTGCTCTCACTCTCCTTGTTGACACTGTACCTCCTAAAATCCCAACCCCTGCCCAGGAAGAGCTCTTTGCAGCTAGACTGGTGTGTCCTGCTTGGATTAGAGCCCATGTGTGCTGTTTGGTGTCTCCTAAACTGTGTGTCACACAGGTTCAGTCCTGTCCCCATATACCTTTTTGTCAATGGTGTGCCAGGGCTACAGCAATGCCCTCCAGTGAACTATTTATGACAACTGGGAAAATCTCAACATCAAGTACCAGGTACAGAGATCTCCTACGATCTCTTTATTCAAAAATGTGTGGGCACAGAAGGGGAATGCATCATCCACCAGCAGGGTGACTGCCTAGCTCACTGCAGTTTCTTTTCCTGTAAAAGAAGTCCCCATGTAGGTTGTGCATCTTGCAGAGACATCTCTGCTTTTCACCCTCCTTCCATCTGCCCCCACCCACGTTACACCTCCTGTATAGGCGACCAACGTAGGAACAAACTGTATGACCTCAGAACTTGTCAAATGAGGATCTTCAGAGAAATTGAGGGCTCAGATGGTAGGGTGTGTCATGCCACCAGCCAGGAGAGAAAGCCGTTTGCAAGGGGACAGAGCAAAGCTGACTCAGAGGCACAAACAACAGGACAGTCTCAGCATTGCTCCGACTCTGGGCTCTGTTTCCCCTGTGTCTCAGTTGTAACCTGTCCTTCCCACCTAATACAAGGGCACTGGAAGCCACACTCACCCAGCTTCTCTGTGGCTTCCACACAGACACTGGGATACATGTTCTCCGTGTATGTGGCCACCAGAAGATACAGGTGGGTCTTCACCACAATCACACCAGTGTTTCCCTGGACAAAGGACAAAGCACAGCTCCTTGTTCTCGGGCCTGATCACCGGGCCGCTGTCACGTTCCCGCCTGACTTCCAAACCTATTAATGCATTTGCTTTTTTGTACTCTCCATTATCTTAGTCATCCTTCTTCAAGAAGTTTCAGCCTATTATACCAGCAGCATGTGTATTTTGAAAAAGATTTCTGATTGATGGCAAAATAAGTCTATCTCAGAGCATGACTGTAATGTAAAAATGATGCAATTTGGAATTGTACAGCTCCGGTCTCGAGTTCCGGTGTCTCCATTTGCTGCTGTTAGCACTATAAAAGTTACTTAACTTTGCTAAACCTGTCAGCTGTCAAATGAAGCTATGTAATTTATACCACGCAGTGTGCCTGGCCCATACTATAGGGTATCCAATGGATGTGAATTTCATCTCTTTAACTCCTTATAGGAAACACAAGGCACAAGGCAGACAGGTTTTAAGCACAGGAATTATTTTTTTTAAAGGAAGACGCTGAAGGAAATGAAGATGGATGAAAGTGGAAAGAAATAGTTTAGGCAAGGTCCCACAGACAGATCCTGCAAGGAGCATGGCTCAGACCCAGACACTGACTAGGCTGTGTTAGACACTGCCCTTGGGGCAGTCACAGGCTTGAACTGTTGTATTAGAGATCAGGAGGGGCCAAGAAACCAAACCAAACCAAAACAAAAACCCACATTTATTTTCCTAAGGGTTTTTTTTTTTAACCAATCTTTGAAATCTCAAATACTCACATTCTTAGCATAAAGTGAATGTTCATCTGCCCGCACACATTTGTAGTCCTTTTCCTTGAAATACAGCCCTTCTCTTCGAGCTTGCAAAGGGTTCTTGGCAAATCCATTCACAAGAGTCCGGACATCACTTGGCATTACCTGTGGAGGTGCAGGGGTTAGAGCAGGAGTCAGCAAGCTCTGCCCACTGTCTGTGTGGTCTGCCCGTGCAGATGGTATTTCTTTTTTTTCAGGTGGAGAAGGAGGAGAAGACCGGCTTTCCTGACATGAAAATGCCAGGAAATTCAAATGTCAGGTCCATGAGTGACGTTTTAGTGGAACCTGGCGACATGCCCTTCATTGTCTACAGCTGCGCTCCAATCCACCTGCAGCACCCCGCGCCTCTGACGTGGACTATGTGGCCCAGAAACCTAAAATAGCCACTGAGGCTTCAAGACAAGTTGGTTTCAAAGGCTTGGGTCCAAGCTCTGCTCGCTTCTTACACTAAATCCTGGCGACGCCACGCACAGGGTGCGCTCCTGGATCCTGATGAGGGCGGCGCAGTCCACGTGCTTCGTGCCCAGCAGTGTGTCCAGCAGCAGGTTCTGCAGGTGGCTCATGACCCTTCAGCCTCGAGAGGGAACTGCAGGGCAGGAAAAGCCGGGTGAATACGAAATGCATGGAAGGTCGTTTGAGTATCAGACCGAGAATGAAAGGGTGGGCGGCCATCTGGTAGTGTCCCCCGGTCCTCAAGGAGGAAGCCTGCACCTCGGAGAACTCCTTTAACACAGGGTGGGTTCTCAGGTTGTGTATGGAAATTACAGCAAAAGCTGTGGCAACGGTTGCAAGAGGATCATCTGGGACTTTATAAACAAACCCGCAAACCCGCGAGCCATTCAAGCTAGGGAGGCACCGAGTCCAGTAAACCCGACGGACGCTGGTACAGCGAGCCGCTATCCCTCAGGGGCACTTCGACCCTCAGTTTCCGCCCAAGTGCCCAAGACAACCATCTCAATCTGTCCGTACTCTTCCTGGGGTTTGGCTCCCGCGGGGTGGGAAGGAGGCAGATGGTGGCCCCTGGAGCAGTACCGGCAGGGGGGGCCGAGTTTGGCTGAGGGGTTCGCATCACGGCCTTGCGGCTCAAGGGGGGGCGGACGCCACTTTAACCTGGTCCGAGAGCAGGGTGCCCTGGAGACCCACCGACTACCGTGGGCCGGCCCATCAACTGCCGTGAGAGATGGCGACGGCGGTATTGGCTGGACCCACTGCCCGTCACCAAAAAGCCGGGACTATAGCTCTTATCGCCAACCACGAGCGGCAAACACGAGCAGGTGCGCCCAGAACCGGCTCAGCTCCAGCGGGTCCCGCCAAGCGGCAGTCCGGAATGCCAGTCGTCCTCCGCGGCGGAGGGAACGCGCGGGGCTGCATCCGGGAGACACTGGACGCGAACCTTGTCGCCAGTTCCGAAGCCGCGCGCTCGAGCTGAAGCTGCAGGCCCGTGGCGGGGTCGCTTCCCGCCGCAGCTGGACGACTTCGGGCGCGGGCTGTGGGCTGGCCCCCAGCGTGGTGAAGGCCTTGCGGGTCGTGGGAGGGCAGCTGAGGTGCCTTGGTGCGGCTGGCGACCCAGAGAGCACAGGCGTCCAGCCGGCTGGTGGGAACAGGGGCCGGGGCCTGGGACGCTAGAGCCTAGCGCAAGCGCCAAGCACCGCCTTGGGCTGCTCAAAGCTGGAAGACTTGCTCCCTTGGTCTGAAAAGCCCCTTCCTGCCATGCTCAGCTTGTGCTTGCTTCCCTAGCCAGAAAGTTACAAGCAGCCGTTCTGTTCTGCATTCCCTATCTGCTGAGAGCATACTTGTGGGAAGATGTGGCAAGCCATCCCAGGGCAGGAGACAGGAGTAGCTGGGGGCTGAGTTCACACAGTCTCCCTCCAGCTGATGAAGCAGGAGGAAGTAGGCAGTTTTTAGTTTCTCTAGGGGCTTTGTTGTTTGTGGCCATAATGGAAAAGAAAGGCAGTGATGACCTGATAACTAACACACTTCCCAAGATCAAGAGCTCCAAGGAATGGCTGGAGCCACAGTCGCTCACTTTCATGGAGGTATAACAGTTTGGCGTTTTTAAGTTTTCTGTGTAGTGTAGTTGCAGTGAAAAGTGACTTGCGCTAAATGTGTTATTTTTCTTTACTTCACTTTCTTTTTGCCCTGATAGCTTTGCATCTACTCTGTTCTTTTCTGGCTTGTTAAAGGTGCACTTTTGTACCTTTTTCTAGTTAAACATCACTTTCAAATTTTTCTCGAAGCACTGGTTGTCATTTATTTTTTTTTTCTAATCTGCCTTATTAAGGAAATCATTGATATGCAATGAACGGCATATATGTAAGTTGTATAATTTGCTATAATTTTATTATTTATTTATTTAAAAAAATCATCGACACAGACAAGATCTTCCGTCTTCTGGCTTACTCCCCGGATGTCCTCAATGATTGGGTTAGCTCAGGACTGAGGCTGGGAGCCTGGGATCCGATTCTGGACTCCCGTGTGGGTGGCTAAGGGACCCAATGACTTGAGCCATCTTCTGCTGCTTCTCGGGGTGCACATCAGCAGGAGGCTGGACCAGCAGCCGAGCCGGGACTCAAACCTAGGCACTCAGTATGGGATGTGGCATACTGCTGCTAAAATCCTCCCGTAATTTGAAATTTTTACATATGCATCCCCATCACCGCTATTAAGAAAATGAACACATTGAACAGTCCCACACTGCTAGCCGTCCTCTTGGTAATCCTTCCTTTTCCTGACTGGCAACTGCTGCTTTGCTCTCTGTGACTGTATTTTACTTTGCAAACATTTTATACAAATAAAATATTTTTTAAAAAATATTTATTTTTAATTGAAAGGCAGATTTTGCAGAGATAGTGGGAGAGGCAGAGATCTTCTGCTGGCTCACTCCGCAAATGGCTACAATGGTGAGAGCTGAGCTGATCTGAAGCCAGGAGGTTCTTCTGGGTCTCTCATGTAGGCACAGGGGCCTAAAAACTTGAGCCATCCTTTGTTGCTTTCCCAGACCATGAGGAGGGATATGTTCTGAAGTGGAGCAACTAGGACATAAAATTGCATCCATATGGGATGCCAGTGCCACAGGTAGAGAATTAGATTGACATACTACCGTGCTGGTCCCACATATGAAATCTTACAGTTTATAATCTTGCCTGGCTTTTTTAACTCAGCAAAATTCTTTTGAAATTTATCCATACCATTCAATGTATCCATATATCCATACTTTGCTCTTCTAAAGAAAAAAAAAAGATTTATTCATTTGAATGGCTGAGTGAGGGAGAGAGGGAGAGAGAATCTTCCAGCCATTGCTTCACTTTCCCAAATGGCTGTGACAGCCAGGGTTAGGCCAGGCCTGAGCCAGGAGTGTTTTCTGGTTCTCCCACATGACTGCAGGGCCCAAGCACTTGGGCCAACTTCTCTGCTTTCCAAGGTGTGTTAGCAGGAAGACTCAAACCTACAACCATATGGGATGTTGGCATTGTAAGGTGGCAGCTTAACTCACTATGCTACAACAATGCTGGCTGTGTTCTATTTTTTTCTGAATGCCATCTCAGTGTATTGATATGCACCAATTTGTTTACCCTGTTGATGGACATTTGGGTTGTTTCCAGTTTTTGGCTGTTGTAAATAAACCTGTTATGAACTTCATATACTTGTCTTTGTATGATCTTTCATTTCTCTTTGGTGGATATCTAGTTATGGGATGGCTGGATCACGTGATAAATGAACTGAGTTTTTAAAAAGATTTATTATTTATTTTATTCGAAAAGCAGATTTATAGAAAGAAAAGGAGAAACAAAAAGAGAAATATCTTCCTTCTGCTATTTCACTCCCCAAATGACTGCAGTGGCTGGAGATGAGCCAATCCAAAGCCAGGAGCTTCTTCCAGAGCTCCCACGTGGGCGCTGGGTCCCATTCTTTGCTGCCTTCCCAGGTCATAAGCAGGGATCTGAAGTGGAACAGCTGGGATATGAACTACCCCCTTATGGGATTCCGGTGCTGCAAACAGAGAATTAGCTTGAAACAAACTGCATTGGGCTCTAATTAAACTTTTCATGAAACTATCAAACTGTTTGCCAAAGTCATTGGATTATTTTACCTTTCCACTAGCAGCATATGAGAATTTCAGTTTTGTAGACTCTTACAATGTCATTTGAAACTTTCTAAAATATGTACAAGGGTACTTCAAAGAGTTTGAAAAATGAGAATTGAAAGATAAGTTTAGGCGACTGGTGTTGTGGCTTAGTGAATTAAGCTTCCACTTGCAATGCCAACATCTCCCATATTGGAATCTGGTTTGAGACCTGGTGACTCCACTTCAGATTTAATTCATTGTTAATATGCCTGGGAGAGTAACAGAGGATGGCCCATGTTGCTTGGCCCTTGCCACTAATGGGGAAACCTGGATGGATTTGCTTACTCCTGGCTTCAGCCTGGCTCAGACTTGGCTGCTGTGGCTACTTTGGAAATGAATCAACAGATGGAAAAGTTTCTCTCTTGATTTCAAATACATAAGAATTAACTTAGTGGGCCTGACTCAGTGGCTCAATTGGTTAATCCTTCTTTGGCAAGTGATGATCCCATATGGGATCCCATATAGGCACTGCTCTATTGTCCATCCAGCTCCCTGTGAAAGCAGTCCTAAAGCCTTGGGACTCTGCACCCACATAGGAGACCCTGAGGAAGCGCCTGGCTTCAGATCAGCTCAGCTCTGGCTGTTGTGGCCATTTGGGAGCAAACCAGCAGATGCAAAATCTTTCTCTCTGCCTCTCCTTCTCTATGTAAAATCTGTCTTGATGATTAAGATGCCAGATGCCCACACTGGAGTCTGTGGGTTTGATTCCCAGCTCCAACTCCAGACTCTGGCTTCTTGCAAGTGCTGTCCCTGAGAGGCAGTGGTGATGGCTCAAGGCACTGAGTTGTTCCACCTATGGGAGACTTCAATTAGATTCCCAACTACTTTGGCCCTTGCTCAATCCTGGCTATTGCAGGCACCTGGTGAGTAAACTGGTTTGGAGCTCTGCCTGTGTTTCTCAAATAAATAAACATAATGAGAAAGGAGGGCTGGGGATCAGTCTGTAGGATCTATTCCAAAAGTCCCACGTAGAGGTCTGAGGGTATCTGGTTTATTCTGTCAAGATAAAAGCACTGGGGACCCAAACTGTCTGGGAGCTGTTTCCTTCCTTCCCTCCTTCCCTCCTTCCCCCTCTCTCTGTTTGTCTTAGAACTACAATCCAAAGCAGGAACATTCAAATGTTCGTAAAACACTTGATATGATTTGAAAGAGAACACTGGATTCATGGAGAATTTTTCAGGGATGTGTCTGTTACATAAAATACAGTGATTCCAGATAACATGAATAATTTGAAGATTTAAAGATTTGGTTTTCAAAGTGTAATTGTGTCTTTTTAGTCCTTAGCTAAAGAAGATACTGATGCAGCCATTCAGTTGATACTATACAGAGAAAACTATATGATTAAGGTAAGAATGCATCTCAAGTAAAATAGAACTCTCTCCATTTTTAGATACAGTATTTTAAATATATGAAAAAATAAAACCGCTCCTTAGCACCCTGGATTCACCCTACTGGGCTGAGAGATTTTAATGGCCTCACTCTCGTGCCCAGACACTTACTCCTTCATCTTTGTGGGTTTCTGCAGCCACAGGAATGAGCTGACCATTCAGGGCTGTTCTTAGAACACACTAGGTAAGCACGAGGTTTAATTGCAGCAGAATGAACCTGAAGCAAGAACATCTGCATGAAGTGTACTAAACTTGGTCATTTGCCTTGAAGAATTTTCCTTATCATTCTTGAAAAAGGAAAGACACGATCACGGAGATGGCTGTAGCATTCCGTGACCGAGACCCAGAAAGCTTCAGGATAACACATTTGCCTTTTCTGTCGCTGTTTTCTAGGAACTAGACAAACGTTTACTACATTATGACTTCCTAAAGGAAAGAAAGAAAGAAATGTTACATAAAAGATGGGTTGACAACGTGGCAGATCCTCTCCAGAAGAAAATTTTAGAAAAGATCGGTTCACATAAGAAGATTAAAAAAAGGAGACAAGAGGAACTAGATGGTTTCTTAAAATATGTAAACAAGAAGGTACTAAGAGATCATCTGATACGTTTAGCAGGTTCAAAAATTGTGGTTGTCGGGGCAGGTTTTTGTGGTAGTTGCTAAGATGCTGCTTGGGACTCCTGCCTCCTGCTCTGGATCTCAGCTTCCTGCTCATGCAGTCCCTGGGGGGCAGGGAAGTGTTGGCTCCAGTAGTTGAGTCCTTTCCTTTTATGTGGGAGACCTGGAATGGGTTCCCAGGTCCTGGCTTTGGTCTGGCCTAACCCTGGCTATTGCAGGCATTTGGCGGTGGCGGTGGCGGTGAACCAGCAGGTGAGGAATGTCTGTCTCTGCCTCTTGGGGCTAGCACTGTGGAACAGTGGGTTAAGCCACCACCTACAATGCCAGCATCCCATATTGGCTGTTCCAGTTTCTGATTCAGCTCCAGCTAATGTGCCCAAGAAAGCAGTAGAAGATGACTCAATATTTGGGTCCCTGCCACTCATATTGGATGACCTGGATGAAGCTTCTGGCTTCATACTAGCCCAGCCCTGGTTGGTGTTGCCATCTGGGGAGGAACCAGCAGATGGAGGATTCTCTCTTCCTGTAACTCTGCCTTTTAAATGTATAAATACCTTAAAAACAATCTTAACAAAACTACAGTTACTTTTACTGTTCAGTTATCCAAACAGCCTGCCTTTACCCCCTGTATAGGTATATGATCTATACTGTGATGGGTTATTTCCTTGAAAGGCACAGGGAGTGACTGACTGGGACAGAGGTCAATTCTCCATCCACTGATTCACTCCCTAAGCGGCCCCAACAGTCAGGGCTGGGTGGGACTGAAGCCAGGAGCCCAGAACTCCAATACAGGGCTAAGCACTTGAGACATCATCTGCTACTTTCCCATGGGCATGAGCAGCAAGCTGGATTGGAAGTGCAGGAGCCAGGACTCAAGCACTCTGATATGGGATGAGGGCATCTTCAGAGGCAGCATGAAAATGCTGGCTCCGTGAAGTACTCTTAAATCCAGGGCCTGTGGGGAGACAAAGAAGGAAAGTTGGGTCTGGATTTAACTGTGTATTTTAGCACCATTTTATTTTGTTTTCACCAGGTAACTATTAAATTACCCATTTATAAAATTTAGAGGGCTCATGTGGTGGCTGAACAGGTTAATCTTCTGACTTGCAGTGCCAACATCCCATATGAGCACCAGTTCATGTCCTGGCTGCTCCACTTCTAATCCTGCTCCTGCCTATGGCCTGGGAAAGCAGTGGAGGATGACTCAAGTCCTTGGGCCACTGCACCCGTGTGGGAGACCTGAAAGAAGCTCCTGGCTGTGGATCAGCTCAGCTTCAGCTGTTGAGGCCATTTAGGGAGTGAAGTAGCAGATGGAAGATCTCTTTTTCTCTCTCCAAATCTGTCTTTCAAATAAAAAATGAATAAATGTCTAAAAAATAAAAAATCTACTTGGGCTTTTGGTTCAGGATATTTTTCTTTCGTTCTGGAACTTTGTTACTTATAAAGTTCATAAATTTAAAAAGAGATGTTTGACTAGAAAGCATTTAAAAACACATTACAATATTGCTTAGTCCCTAACATTGTTAAAATTTGCAAATTTCAAGTAGAATCCTTCCTCCATTTTCATGTGTATTCACTATTTACATAAACTGAGCTCAGCTTTGGGCTTTTGTTTTGTCTTCCAGGCCGTTGTGAAGTTGGGACTGGAACTGTGTGTGACTCCTGGGTCCTGTTGGGCTCAGTGAACTACTTGCTGCTGTTTTCACATGCTTCTCTTTCCGTTCAACAGGGAAATGCATTTATAGAACACTATGACCCGAAAGAATATGATCCCTTCTGTATGAGCAAAGAAGACCCCAGTTTTCTGAAGGTAGGGCATTTTTTTTTAAATTTTAAAGATTTAAAAATTTGTATTGGAAAGTCAGATATACAGAGAGGAGGAGAGACTGAGAGGAAGATCTTCCATCCATTGATTCACTCCCCAGTGACCGCAACGGCTGGAGCTGCGCTGATTCGAAGCCAGGAGCCAGGAATTGCGTCCAGGTCTTGTACACGGGTGCAGGGTCCCAAGGTGTTGGGCTGTTCTCAACTGCTTTCCCAGGCCACAAACAGGGAGCTGGATGGGAAGTGGAGCTGCTGAGATTAGAACCTGTGTCCACATGGGATCCTGACATGTGCAAGGTGAAGATTTTGTCCGCTAGGCTATTGTGCCGGGTCCCAAAGTAAAAAAAAAAAAATTTAAAGATTCATTTACTTGAAAGGCGGAGTTATAGGGGGAGACAGAGATGGAGATAGGTTTCCATCCACTAGTTCACTCCCCAAATGGCTGCAGTGGCCATAGCTAGGATAAGCCAAAGCCAGGAGCTTGGAGAACACCCAGGTCTCTAACATGCGTGGCATGGACCCAAGCACTTGGGGGTGGGGGCCCAAACATTTGGGCTATCTCTCGCTGTTTTTTCCTGGCTGTTGGCAGGGAACTGGAGCAGCCAAGGCACAGGCCAGTGCCCACAGTGGATGCTGTTGTGTCAGGTGGTGGCTTTACCTGCTACATTGAGTTGCTGGCTCCTGGCTTCATTTTTCGATGGGGCAGATCTTTGTTCCCAGGCCAGGTTTACACTATGGTTGTCCTTCCCTGTGGTCTCATAGTGCCATGGCCCAGGTGCTCGCCCCCTGCTGGGCCCTGCACTGCTATTCCACATCCCCACACGCAGGCCCTTGCCTAGGCCTTGTGGAGCCTGCACAAGATGGTGTCGCAGTTGTTCCAGGCTGCCTCTCTGCTGTCCTGGACTTGTATGAGCTTCACACTTCCTCCAAAACCTTGCCCCTAAGTCCCTGCGGGAGTTTGCAAGCCTTGTCTTTGTTCTGGGTTTGGATATTTGGTGATCTGTTGGTTTCCACATTTCAAGCTTCCCAATCCAGGAAAGCAGCAGCCTGGCCTTTCCCGCTGCCTGCCTGTCTGCCTCTCTTGGCGTGAGGAGGGGCGGACTTGAGGAACACAAAGGCTTCATTCCTTTCGTTCATTCTTTTCCTTTAGCCTTTCTCTGTCTGCCTTGTGCAGCTCTACTTAGAAATGATGAACTTTATTAAATATTGCTCTTTCTCTAAGTCTACCTTTTTAATATTCTCTGTTGAAACATAAGTATGAAAAGGGCACTTTTACTGCCTACTGATCTTTGATATTATAACTTGATTTGTGAGCTGAATTATATGTTGACTTTTTAATTAAAGATTTATTTATTATTTTTTTAAAGATTTATTTATTTTCCTGTAAAGGCAGATTTATAAAGAGAAGGAGAGACAAAAGATCTTTCATCTGTCAGTTCATTCCCTAAGTGGCCAAAATGACTGGAGCTGAACAGATCCGAAGCCAGAAGCCAAGAGCTTCTTTTGAGTATCCCACACAGGTGCAGGGTCCCAAGGCTTTGGGCCGTCTTCTGCTGTTCTTCCAGGCCACAAGCAGGGATCTAGATGGGTGTGGAGCAGCCGGGTCATGAACCAGTGCCCAAATGGGATCCTAGCACTCGCAAGGGAATGATTAAGTAATTGAGCCATTGTGCTTGGTCCAACTTTGCATTTTCTTTCTTTCTTTCTTTTTTTATTGATTACATTGTATTATGAGACATAGTTCTATAGGTACTGGGATCCCCCCCAACCCTCCCCCCAACTTTGCATTTTCAATGAACACCATTTTTACTTGAATCAATGATCTCCAAACTGTGTTTAGTTTTATAAATTTGGAAAACATTTTCTGGAAAAATGAATGAAATGAGGCTGTCACTTCCTGGATGGCTACTGATAATACTGTTGCTAATGATAAAAGGTAAGATTTCAAGCAAAATATCTGAATTCTGGAAGTCATATATTGAATATCATTAATTGTGGTAGCATCCTAATACTCATAGAGTATAGGATTGGAATTGATATTAATGAGTGGGATTCTTTTATTAGATTATATATTGAAATGTATAAACATTTGGAAGATTTTGCTTATTTCAGTGCTTTAGTGGGCTGGTTTTGTGACATGGTTAGCTCCCACTTATGATGCTGGCATCCCATATTGGTGCTGGTTTGTGACCCAGGGCTTCACTTTCATTTTTTAAAAAAAGATTTATTTATTTTTATTGAGAAGGCAGATATACAGAGAGGAGGAGAGATAGAGAGGAAGATCCTCCATCTGATGATTCACTCCCCAAGTGGCTGCAATGGCCAGAGCTGAGCCAATCCGAAGCCGGGAGCCTCTTCTGGGTCTCCCATGCAAGTGCTGGGTCCCAAAGCTTTGGGACATCCTTGACTGCCCTCCCAGGCCACAAGCAGGGAGCTGGATGGAAAGTGGAGCTGCCGGGATTAGAACCAGTATCTATATGGGATCCTGGCACATTCAAGGCTAGGACTTTAGCTGCTGTGCTATCATGCCAGGCCCACGGCTCTACTTTGAATCCAATTCCCTGCCAATGTGCCCAGGTAGGCCGTGGAAGATGGCTCACGGGATTGGGCCTCTGCATTCATGTTGGAGAACAGGATGAAACTCCTGGCTTTGGCCTGGCCCAGCCTGGCTATCGTGGGCATCTGGGGAATGCATCAGTGCATGGTAGATTCTCTCTCTGTCTCTCTTCCTCTTTTATAACTCTGCTTTTCAGATAAATAAAAAAAAAATAAATCATTTAAAAAATTTTCAGTGTCCTAATTTTTCTTGATGATCAATTCATGATGTTATGAATCATGCATAGGGAGAACATTCACTCAAAATGCAGGGCAGACCAATGGATTTAGATGTAGAAGAATATGGAAAATTTATTAATATGGCTAGATTCTACATCATAACTAACCTTTTAAGAAACTACTACTTATGGACTCTGAAGAATATCCTCAGTGATCTGAAAATGCCATTAAAGTGCTTTTCTGACCACACGTAGAAACCACATGTGTGGATTTTCTTCATTAAACTTCCACTAACATTAACATACCTCAACAGACTACATGGAAAGGCACATAGGAGAAGCCAGACATTGAAGATGCCTGTAAAAGTGTAAAACTATGTCACTTGTAGTTTTATAAACCATAGTTACCGTCTTAAAATACGATACACTTATTTTAAAATTAATACATTGAAATGATTTGGGTTTCAATTTTCAGTAGGTGAGCATTGGCATATGTAACTCATACAGACAAAGGTTCTTTGGAGATGACAATAGCAACCAGTCCTTTTTTTTTCTTATTAAAAATATTTCATTGACATACAGTATACATAATGAGAAAAGCAAGTATATAGATTGATGAGTTTTTTTGGTACTCTGATTATACAAACCAAAAGTTTAAAAAAAGATTAAATTATTTAGTTTTTTTCCACTTACCATTTGACTGTCAGAACAAATGTGAGGCTGGGGCCCAGCGTGATAGCACAGCAGCTAAAGTCCTCGCCTTGTATACGCTGGGATCCCATTGGGTGCCAGCTCTAATCCCAGTGGCTCCACTTATCATCCAGCTTGTGGCTTAGGAGGGCAGTCAAGAATGGCCCAAAGCTTTGGGACCCCGCACCTGCATGGGAGACCCGGAAGAGTCTCCTGGCTTCAGATTGGCTCAGCTACAGCCGTTGTGGCTACTTGGGGAGTGAACCATCAGATGGAAGATCTTCCTCTCTGTCTCTCCTCCTCTCTGTACATCTACCTTTCCAATACAAATAAATAAAATTTAAAAAAATGTGAGGCTGGTATTGTGGTATAGTTGAACCACCTGGGAAGCAGCTGTACCATGTGAGCACTGGTTTGAGTCCCAATTATTGCTCCATTTCTTTTTCTTTTTTTTGTTTAATTTTTTTCACTTATTATTATTATTATATGATACAGTTCCATAGGCTCTGGGATTTCCCTTACCTCCTCCCCAAATCCTCCCCTCCACATTGAGTTCTGTCATATCATTACAGCATAGTTCTTCATAAACAGTCATAAGTCCATCATTGTGGGCATGGACGAGTCTAACATTCCATTGTCAAGACACATCCAACAGTTTCACTGGGAGTCCATCCTCAATGCGGAAGTAGAAATGCACACTGCACCGTGTCCTCACATCTGGACATGTCAGTCTCCACTACACAGTTACTATAAATGCTCCCCAAGTGAAAAGCCACAACAAAATCAACAACAGGAAGAAAAAGAGAAATTTATGATGTCATGAGGTTAAATATGCCACTGGATATGATAGTCTCCATTACACAGTTATTATACATCCCCTTAAATGAAGAGCCACAAAACAAAATCAACCCTAACACTAATCCTAACCCTAAAACAAAAAAGAAAAAAAGAAATTTACAATGCATAAAGTCAAATAACATGTTTCTGAATGACTAATGTGTCACTGAAGAAGCAACCAGTCTTAAAACACAAATTTGAGAACCAATAAGTGGATGGAAGTTCTTTTTCTCTCTGTGTTTCTCTGTTTCTCTCTGTAAATCTGCCTTTCCAATAAAAATGAATAAATCTTTTTTTAAAAAAGAGTACAGTATATGTGAATACTTGAGATAACTGGAAAATATGTAATATTCAGACATAGTGCTTTTCTTGTAGGTTGCCCTCCCACCATTTCGTGATCCTCTGAAAAAAGCACAATATGAGAAGGATGATGCAAAGAGAATTCTTCTGCAGTGTGAGACTGGTACTTGGTCTTTGGCTGTTTTGAGATTTGATAGTCCAGGAGCAAGCACAGCTGCATTTAAAGATGCTAATTTTGATCACTGATCTTGCAGGCAAAATGTATACCATGAGAGAGTTTAAAGAGGTTGAGAAGGCCCAACTACATTCCAGATTCCCAAGAATTTCCACTTCAAGGCACTTTATGACTCCGAATGAGTGGCTTAAACTACCTACAAGATACATTGAGAGCGACTTTTGTAAAAGGAGCAGGTAAGGACTGACAGAAATTATAGAACCTCTTGAACTTGGAACATTCTTAGAGCAATGATGTACCTCTTCCCACTGCTATCATGTTCTCAATAGGAAGTTGACTATAATTGTTACCTTTTTTTCCTGGATGTCTTTGATTTTTATTAGGTAGATCATGATGTGTCTATTTTTTTTTTTAAGATTTATTTAAGTCAGAGTTGCAGAAAATAAGAGGGAGAGAGAGAGAATCTTCTTCAGCTGGCCACAACAACCAGAGCTAAGCCACGTGGAAGCCAGGAACTGGAGACTTCACCTAGGTCTCCCACGTTAGCGCAGGGGCCAGTTAGGCCATTCTCTGCTGTTTTTCCAGGTCATTCCCAGGGAGCTGGGTCAGAAGTGGAGCAGCCGGGACAAGAACTGGCACCCAGGGTAGAATGCTGAGGTCACAGCGGCAGCTTTACCGATTATGCCACAAGGCTGACCCCTGTATTTCTATTTCATTTTGCTTAGAACTCTCTGAGATTTCTGTATCTGCAGTTTTTGTCTTACATCATTTTTGGGAGACGTTAGGCCATTTAACTTCAAATGTTTCTTATGTCTCATTCTTCTTTCAAAGGTTATAATTATATGAATGCTAGACTACTGGAGCCTATGCCATAGTGCCATGGCTTGCTGGTGTTTTGTTTTTCTCTTACTCACTTTTTCTATTATCTATCCTTAAACTGTCCTTTCTCAGATGTCTCTCATCTACTGAAGATTCCATCAAAGGAAATATTTTTTTAAATTGAAATTTATTTATTTTTATTGGAAAGGCAGATTCCTTACAGAGAGAAGCAGCACAGAAAGACCTTCTATCCACTGTTTCACTTCCCAAATGGCCGTAACAGGTAGAGTTGAGCTGATCTGAAGCCAGGAACCAGGAGCTTCTTCTGGGTCTCCCATGTGGGTGCAGGACTTTGGGTCATCCTCTACTGGTTTCCCACGAATGAAGCAGGGAGCTGGATGGGAAGTGAAACAGCCGGGACATGAACTGGCACCCATATGGGATATTGGCAATTTCAGGGGGAGGATTAGCCATTTGAGCCATTGTGCCTGTCCCAACTCGCCAAATTCTTTATCTGTGGTATCATAACTATACTTCTAGCATTTCCATTAAAGTTTTCTTTTTTGTTTTTTTTAAAAAGATTTATTTATTTTTATTAGAAAGATTTATTTATTTTTATTTATTTATTTTTATATTTATTTATTTTTATTTTATTTATTTTATCCATTTTATGGAGAGAAGGAGAGACAGAGAGGAAGATCTTTCTTCTGATGATTCACTCCCCATCACTTATACAAGGGGTCATGGAGAATGCACATTATGGAAATCCATGCATCGATTTCAATTCTTTTGGTAGCAAAATTAACTTATCTTTTAATTCCAGAAATCACTCAATAGATGTTGAACAAGCCCTCAGTGGTCCCCATTCTGATTTGTCTCTGAACCCCTTCTCTGGGAAAGGTCAGCCCCATTGTGACTTGTGCCTGTTGCAGGGCATGATGGTGGCTCTGGCCAGCGTGACTCCTGCAGTGGTGTCAATTTGCTTTCTTCACTGTGTTGAATATTAAAGTTGTAATTTCTTAAGTTCTCCTGTCTCCCAATGTGCGTGTTCATTCCTGATGGGCTCCTACAGCTTTCTTTCCTTGGTGACTGAATCCTTTCTTTCTTTGAGCATTTTAAACACTGTTGTAATGCAGTCTAAATCTGCCATTAAAAGGCATGCTCTGCACAGGGCCAGCCTTGTCCTTCCAGCCATCTCCTGTGTGGGTGTAACATGGAACCCTAATGTACCTGACTACCACCGTACAGCAAGGGAGGCTGGGAAGTGGAGTGTCTGATTCTCTGTGGGGGAAAGCATGGCATTTATGCTTATAGAAGCTAGTATCACTAAGGCTTCTTTTTACACTGAAGCATGGGCTCTTAGTGGATGGGAGTGCTTTAAGATTTGCTCAAGTGATTTTTAGTTCTCAGTGACGCAATTAAATCAGTCTCCATCCTGATTTCAGAAACTGGTAAGCAACCATTCTCATCCAAAATGTGAAACATTATGGATTAGCAGTACTCTGGTGTTATTTAGCCATCAGTATGTGAGTTTCCATTTAATATAAGCCAGTTGTTTTGAAAACATCCTCACACATATTCTCTTGTTTAAGGTTAAAAGTGAAAGTGAATTTCAATGAAAGTAGTTTTGACTGGAAGTCCTTGGCAAGAACTCCTCATCCTCTGGAATACCAGGAAAAAGAAAAAACAGTGATTTGCAAGTAAGCCTGCTGTTCCATAGTTATCCCTCAGTGAAGATGCTTGTCCATGTTGCCACCTCGCCCCTACCCCACATGCACACCCCGCATTCCTTTCAAGCTGTTGAATTCACCAGACTCCCTGTGGCTTGTCAGACACCCCCCACCCCAAGTCTCCCGGAGCTGGCAGTTTTCTTTGACTTTTCCGATGTTAAGGAACACAGATCTAACATTAAAAAATGACAAGCACAGACTTGGGGTGGGGAAACTGATGATAGTTTGTACGAAGGTTAATTTTTAATTGAAATAGAACAGAATAGATGGAGCCTGGGACCAGTCTTAGGAGGTAGTGGCTATTACAGTATTGTACCCAGATGTTATAAGCAGAGAAGTGGTACATACTTCTTTGCATATGACATGGGGAATCATCCCCATTAACTAGTTACAGAATTAATAGATATCGTTGTAACTTGTGACATTCAGATTAAAAGTAATGTGATTCTTCAGATATCACTGGAGGGAAAATTTGGAAAACAGTTTGGCAATTTCCCAATATGCTAAACATTAAGTTACCATGTTCAATCCTAGGTTTTTGCTCAGGAGAAATGAAAGTTACTATCCATATAAAGGCTAGTACAGGAAGGTTCACTATCCCATTGTCCACAATAGTTAAAAACTGGAAATTCAAATGCTCATCTATTGATGAATGGATGAACAAAATGTGCTATTGTCATACAATGGAATATTATTTGGCAACTAAAAAGAAGCACCGATTCACATTACAGAATGAATGAGCTTTAAAACCATTATGCCCATTGATGGAAGCCACTCACGAAAGGCCAGATAGCATTTGATTCTCTTTATGTGAAGTGTTCAGGGAAGGAAGTTTAAAGAGAAGGTAAATAGTGGTTGCTATGGCTGGAAGCAGTGACTGCTGGAGGTTTGGGATTTGATCTATCAGATTGTGGTGGTAGTTGCAAACTCTGTAAATATAAAAAATCTTTGACTTGTACTATTATTATAGTATATAAGCTAAATCTTAGTAAAGCTGCTGATACAAAAAAAAAAAAGAACTTAGCAAAGGTAGAAGAAAGATGAGTTTGTAACTGGCATTGCGGCACATCAGGCTAAGCGTCTACTTACTACATTAGCATTCCATATGGACATCTGTTCAACTCCCAGATGCTCCACTTCCAATATGGCTCCCTGCTAATGTGGCTGGGAAAACAGTGGAAGATGGCCTCAGTGCTTGGGCCCCACAGCCACACGGGAGACCCAGAAGCAGTTCTGAGCTCCTGGTGTTAGCCTGGCCCAGCCCTGGATGATGTGGTCATTTGGGGATTGAATCAGCAGATGGAAGATTCTCTGTCTCTCCTCCTTTCTCTGTAACTCTGGCTTTTAAATAAATTTCTAAAAATCTTAAGAAAAGAGCAAAGATCATGTATTGTATATGTTTTGTGGGAGTTTGACCTACAATTTTGTCCTGAAATTGAATTGTACCCAAGGTAAGTTTTAACAGTTTCTCTTTCCTTTCCCTGCAAATGCCCAGAATCTGCTTCATAAACAGCAAGGCAGAGAAGCCAAGGGCTTTTAGAGGGCTTGACACTGGCATGACCAACAACAACCAGTTGATTCTTGAGCATCTTAGTGATTTAGAGTGGAAATAGATGCCATCAGCCATCATGGGTTTCACAGTGTCCTGGACGTGTGCTTTAATAACCTACTGCTTTTTTCTGTTGATTTGCATCTGAAACTGAGAAACAAAAGGAAGTATTGCAACCATGCTGAAGCCTCCAATTTGGTAGCTGAAGGTCTTAAAAGATGGAATGATTCAGAATTACAATTGCAAGTTAAGAGTCTAATGGAGTACTTTTCTTTGCGGTGCTAACTGTCCTCATCTCAATTACACATGTTTGGGTAAAATTTTAGGACAATCGATAGCTCAACCTATCTAATATACACAAATGGTAAAAGAGGAGAGCTATTTTATCCCCCCAAAATATCAAGGAGAATATTGCCTTGTTGTGGGGCAGGAGTTAGGCCAGCAGCTAAGCTTCTCACATCCTCCATGGGAGTAACTGAGCTCAATTTCAACCTCTGGCTCCTGATTCCAGCCTGCTGCTAATGTAGGCCCTGGGAAGCAGCGGCGACGGCTCAAATGGCTGGGTTCCTGCCACCCGTGTGGGAGACTTGGACTGAGTGACCAGCTCTCAGCTGCGGCACTGACCCAGCCGTGACTGCTGTCAGCATTTGGAGAGTGAATCAGCAGATGCCTTGCATTTTACACTGGAGTCTGGGAACTCTCTCTGGAGGAAGCCTGAGTGGATTCTCTCCCACAAACTAGGGAAGCATCTCAAGCATGGCAGCAGGGGTGGGGAGGGTCTGGTTGTCTCTGGCAGAGTTATACTTGGCCGAGAAAGACAAAATGGACCACCTTGTGAGGGGCTGTTCTCTCTCAAGGGCCTTCACTCAGGTCTCTAAGCTCCCGACTTCCAATGAAATTATCATGAAGACAAGGGAATACCACTTATTTGGGCTTAAAAATACATTCGTTCAGATTGAATTATCCCACATCAAATCTAAACGACAATATTACATGCTAGAGTTGAATAGACTAGTCAAGAGAATTCTTTTGGTTCTTCCCTACAGGAGCAAAGAGCCATCCTTTCTGGACAAGCAGCCTATTTATTACCAGGAGAGAAAGATTCCAAGCCTCAAAGAGGCTGACTCTGAAGGACATGTTTCTCTCTGGAATGTCAGCCAGGAGCAGAAGAGGGATGAAGACCGGGACATGGTGAGAACTGGGGCAGTCTCATCCTGCAGTGCACAAAGCAGCTGATAGCCAAGGCTGAGCAATGGAGAACTGCTGTGTATAGCAGGCATCTCGGAGGAGGGGAGGCCTCCAGAAGGTGGGGAGTGAGGCCCAAGAAACTGAGAGGCAGGGACACTTTATGCAGGGGGCCTGGCGGGAATTGTCCCCAGCCACCTGGAGGAGCTACACAATGACAAGAGTATAGGCTATTCTGTCTGAGATTTTCCCAGCTGCCTCGTTCTTGAGTTTTCTTCTTCTTTCTACCATTTACTACTTACCATACCCAAGCCAAGCCCCAAATCTTCTTTATTCAACTAAGTAGAAAATTTTCCAAAGGAGCAATGCTACATTAAAATAATACAATTTAAGAAGCTCCCAAAGTGAAAGTGTGAAACATGTTAAGTGCAGGTGTTCACAGCACGTGGATTGCTCAATTCAGCAACCGTACTTCTATGGTCTTCATGGTGGTCACCTGGCTGCCCCAGCCTGCTGCTTCTGGGCCAGGGGCACCACTCCTCTCCTGTCTCCTCTCCACCCTGTGTCCTGACACTGCAGGACAGCTGTTTTCAGGAGCGGACTTAGAGAAGTCACAGCCCTCCCTCGAGCCCCTGTACATCTCGGTTGGACTCGGTCTGAACAGCCTGTATTCTGAGGATGTAGCCAGTCTGTCCAGTGTTCCACTTTCCTATTTCTCTACTACTGTTCTTCATGGATAAAGAAGTTACTTGATTTATTCACTCAGGAAAAGTTAGATTTTTATTTATGAATTTAGGATTTAGGAGAGAAAGAGATATCTTCTATCCACTGGTTTACTCCCCAAATGGCTGCAATATCCAGGGCTGGATCAGGCCCTCAATTCCATTTGAACCTCCCACAAGGGTTCAGGGGCCTGAGCACTTGGGCCAGCTCTTCTGCTGCTTTCCATTTAGTAGGGAGCTAGATCTGAAGTGGGGTAGCTGGGTTTTGAACTGGTGGCCAATTGGGATGTTGACATTGCAGGCAGAGGCTTAGCTTGATGCACCATCGTACCAGCCCCATAAAAACTTCTTAAAATTCCATTTTGCGTTTTTGTTTTTCTTTAAAAGATTTATCTATTTATTTATTTGAAAACAGAATGACAAGGTGATGGAGTTAGACAGCATCTTCAGTCCTCATATGATCACAACAGCCAACGCAAGGCCAGGCTGAAATAGGAGCCAGATACTTCTTCAAGCTCTCCATGTCAGTAGAAGGAACTCTGGTACTTCTGTCATTATCTGATGCTTCCCAGGTGCATTAGCCGGGGGCAGGAAGAAAGTATCTGGGACTTGAACTAGCGCTCTGAAAAGGATTCTGGGTGTCCCAAGTGGAAGCTTAATTCAGTGTGCCTTCCTTCATCTTGTGTTTTAACTCCATTTACTGTATCTTTTGATGTTACAGCCCATGTCTGTCCTTCCTTTATTTTCTTTCTCAGTGGCCAACCTGCCAATTTATCATATGACCAAGGTACTTAACAATGATATATATAATATATAAAATTTTGGGCAAACATTGAGATACACTGGATAAAACTACTGCCTGAGATGCCAGCATCCCATAACAAAGCGCTGATTCAAGTCCTGGCTGCCATGTGGGAGACTCAGATGGAATTCCTGGCTTCTGGCTTTGGCCTGGCCTACCCGTGCTGTGCAGCCATCTGGGGGATGAACCAGCAGGTACAAGATTCTCTCTGTCTCTGTGAAGATGAAGTTAATGATATATCCCTACAGTCTTAGTCTGGTAAAGTATGACGTTACTGGTTTAGCACCCCCATTGGAGACCCAGACTGAGTTTCAGGCTCCTGGCTTCAGATCAGTTCCAGCTGTCTCAGGCTGTGACTCAACAAGTGGAAGGTTTATCCCTCTGTGTCTCTCTTTCCCTCTATCTCTGTTCCTTGGCCTTTTTTTTTTTTTCTTAAAGATTTATTTTTATTATTTTTTCATTGGAAAGGCGGATATACAGAGAGGAGAGACAGAGAGGAAGATCTTCCGTCCGATGATTCACTCCCCAAGTGAGCACAACGGTCGATGCTATGACGATCTGAAGCCAGGAGCCTCTTCAGGGTCTCCCACGCGGGTGCAGGTTCCCAAAGTTTGGGCCGTCCTCGACTGCTTTCCCAGGCCACAGGCAGGGAGCTGGAAGGGAAGCGGGGCTGCCAGGATTAGAACCGGCACCCAGATGGGATCCCGGGCGTGCAAGGCGAGGACCTTTAACCACTTGCGCCACTGCGCCGGGCCCTCCTTGGCCTTTTAAATAAACTTTGCTTAATTTTTTTTTTCCTGAACTATAACAATCCTCGTGTGAAGCTGTACTCTAAACACGTTGAGGTGTTGTGTTTAGAACCAGGACAGCAGGGGATCCCTTGGGTCCTCTTGCATCAGTAATCTCTGCTGTCTGTGATAAGGTTGGCTCTTTCCCGAGTCGCCACATGCTTCTGAATCCAGACTGGGTGAGGAAAGGCTGGGAAAGGAGGTTTAGGGGGAGACCCTGCCTGTGAGATGCGTCAGCTCTGGCAGGAGCAGGGTTTGGAGGGATCAGTTCAGCGTAGCAGGCAGACTCTCTGACAGGCCCTGCCTTCCTATTCACCCCCGGTGCTTCTTTTTGTTATCTCTGAAAGGTGTTAGCAATCACGAAGGAGGACACATGCTAATCCTTGACTGGTGGAGGAGAGCTGAAAGAAGGCCGCTTCAGAGAAAGCTCTCTGCCAGCACGAATTCTTCAAAGTGAGGACCAAAGGGGTATTCAAGAATGGTGCTGCTGCTAAGAAAAGTGCCTGGAATAAACTTCATTTAATCTTTGAGTTCAGTGCCTGTGATAATTAAGAAGTGGCAAAAGTATGTACCAACAGCGATTCAATAAAAATAATAGCTGCCTGGCTGAATGCCCATCTTAACTCATTTTATGTGTTCCTGAAGTGTGCGCCCTTTGGTCATCCGCACACGTTTTCCCCACCAAGAGTTTTCCAGCATTCTTTAAAAATGCACAGTCTCCATGGCAACCGGCCCTAGCTGCAGGCATTCCCTGTGTCCATCCCTGCCCTTTACAAGCAGGGTCCCACAGGACGAAGCATTCCTTCGCCCCAATTTTATTCCCAGAAATAACCACGGAGAAGAGGAAGACAGTTCTGATCAACTTAGCAGACGGGCTGCAGCCTACTCTAAAAGCATGCCTTACGGAAGCCTGCGTTAGGCCAAGGTCAAAGCTAAGAATCCCAACCTAGTGTCTAAGTGCAGGGGATATTAACAGACATAGTGGGAGAAACAGATAAGTAAAATATTCTAATATCAAATCAATGAATTAATTGGAGAATAGGTAAAGAGAAACAGCATGCTGTGCAGGAGCTTAAAGCAAGGACCTCGTTCAAGGCTTAGGAAAAGGAGGGTTGTGAAGTTACGTCCAACTTGTAGATAAGATGGGATTGCCTTGGACTATCAAATCAGAGACGGACACTCGGGCACACTTTGAAGCCATGAGATTGAGATAACTGGAATCAGCAAATCAGGAAAAATACTATTTTCAAGCTAAATAAGGAAGTAGCTCTTTGAAAACGATAAATCATGTTATGAAATACCTTTTGCTGCTGTTGTATGTCATTTAAGTCATCAGTGGTGCTTTCTGCCTGTGTCTATTTAACAGGCATTTTCTGCTAACCCCGCTGTCCTGCAAGGTCTCACGCTGTGGGAAAGATGCAAAGATGACACAGATGCAGCTCCTGTTCTCATGCACTCAATGATTTAGCTTGAAAAGTATCTCTGAATCATGGCCTACACAGAGTTCACTGAGGCCATGGGCACACCTGAGCTCCCAGGCCGCTTTCAGGAGCTTTCGCAAGACCCTCTCACACAGGTGGATTTCAAAACATATTTTTTTCGCAGCAAAACCCCCTTACCTAATAACACATAAATGGATAAAGAAAATGTCATACATATACACACACAAATGGAATATATTTCAGTGATAAGAGGTTTATTTACAACAAAATGTATGCAACTGGAGAATATCATGTTGAGTGAGATAACAGACACAGAAAGATAAATATCAAACGTCCTTCCAAATATGTGGGAACTAAATTTGAAGAAAAATTTAAAAAAAGAGGAAGTTTTAAAAAATAGTTTTGTCAAACTTTTATATCTTTGTCAAACCAATGATTAAGGAGATTTTTAATAATCTGTGATAATTTTTACATTTACTGTATGGATAAAATGTCATCTTTCCATTTGACTGCTGTTTATAGCTCCTCCCTATATTCCTGCTGTAGTCTTTTTCTTTGCTTTTTACTTGTTGAACTCTGTTTTTAGTGTGGAACAATAAGCCCTTAACTGCACTGACTGTAATGTAAATTAAATCTCACAAAAATTAGTAAAGAAAGAAAGATGGAAAAGAAGGAAGGGAGGGAAGGAAGAAAGAAAACATCATTATATTACAATCTTATCTATGAACTACACTGAATCTGTTCTCTATGTATTAAAATCACATTAATGTGGGAGAATCAAGATGGCGGAATAGGGTAAGGACACGTTTAAACGGATGGAGAAGCATTTAACCAGAATGAAGCAGAGAGGACATATTTCAGGAAATACGAAAGGACAGAACAACAGCAGAGGGGTACCAGGAGACTGACAGACACAGGAAAGCAGCGGGCACAGCAGTGTGGTGTTGCAGTGAATGATATTCCAGCACGGCGATCTAAACTCCACCAGCAGCAGGAACTCCACCAGCAACCAGGTGGGAAGGGACTTTTCACTGGGAGCTTGGGAGGTGAACCCAGACAGGGAACTGTCTGTCCTGCTGGTCCGTTTGATTTGACCAGGAGCAGAGACATAGCAGCAGGTCCAGGTGGGCAGTGCGAGAACAGCGAGGATTTCATAGCCCAGTCAGCCCCCTAGAGCTGAATTGTTCGCCATTTTGCCTAAGGAGGAAAGGGGAAGGGAAAGGACTGAGCATGCTCTGAGAGGGAGTGAGCTCATTTCTGACTCGGTGAACTGCAACAACGTGGCATTCTATGGATTCCATCCAGGGCAGGTCTGTCAGCCAGCAGATCAAGAACTGTTGTGGTAGCACGTCTGGCGCCATTTTGCACACTGTGGCAATAGTTTTGGGACTGCAGAGGGCAACAGTGAACTGCGCATGTGCTGAGCTTGCGAGAATTCGCTGAGGTCCCGCAGGAAAATAATACCGACCGTGGCATTGTACCGGTCAAAACAGGTCCGTGTGGCACCCACACCTAACATCCAACAAGTTCCGACAGATCAGCGCCACCAACAACCTAACAGGATAGGACACCTGGTGTCTCTTTAATCCTGGAACCTACTCCAACCAGAAGAGGGAGAAAGGTTGCAGAGACAACAGTGCAGCCTCAGCACAGTATCACAGGAGGTGGAGAGTGGTGAGCCAAGAGCTGGGCTGTGGAGACCACGGTGGATATCTGACATAAGAAGCCAGACCTGGAACTCGCTGGAGGTTGTGGCACAAGTGGCTGCAAGCAAAAAGTTGTGTACCAACTGCAATAAGTAAAATCGCATTGTAGACCAGTGGGTGACACAGCTTAGAAACCTGCTCCAAGAAGAAGACTCTGCTAACCAGAAGTACAATGATCAAGAGCAAAAGAGGAGACAAAGGCACAATGAATATTACCGAAAACTCCCCTGCAAAGGAGCAAAACCCTATGCCAACCTCAGAGTTAACTGAGGAAGACATTGAGAAAATGGGGGACACAGAATCCATAAGACTCATTTTAAAGATTCTGGTCAAAAATGAGAAGTTAATGCAAGAGTTCAAAGAATTTAAGGAAGCAGTAAAGCAAATCAAGACTGGTATATCAGAAATTAAGAACACAGTAGAGCAAATTACAAGTACAGTGGAGAGTCTCCAAAATAGAATGAAGCAAGCAGAAGAAAGAATCTCAGAATTGGCAGATATCTCCTGTCACCAGGGGGAAGCAAACAAAAAGCTGGAAGCAGAGCTGGATCAGGCCAAAAAAAGTATTCAAGAATTGAAAGACACCATTAAGAGGCCAAATATAAGAGTTATGGGAGTCCCGGAAGGTACAGAAAGAGAAGCTGAGTTTGCAAATGTATTTAATGAAATAATCAAGGAAAATTTCCCTAATCTGGAGAAAGAATTGGGAAACAAGATCCAGGAGGGACACAGAACTCCCAACAGGCTTGATCAAAAGCGATCTTCACCATGACATATGATTATCAAGCTCTCTTCAATTGAACATAAGGAAAAGATCCTTAAATGTGCACATGAAAAACATCAATTGACGTATAAAGGAAGGCCAATTAAACTCTCAGGAGATTTCTCACAAGAAACTCTACAGGCAAGAAGAGAATGGAGTGACATATTCCAGATTCTAAAAGAAAAAAATTGTCAGCCTAGGATAACATACCCTGAAAAGCTTTCTTTCCTCTTTGAAAATGAAATAAAATTCTTCCAGAGTAAAGAAAAGCTAAAAGAATTTGCCGCTTCCAAACCTGCTCTACAAATGATACTTCAAGATGTTCTCTTGACAGAGAAGAGGAATAGCACCTACCAAAACCAAAGGCAAAGGGGAAGAACATCCCAGTAAAAATGACAACATAAGACTAAATCAATGAACAACCCATTGCTAAAATGACAAGACCAAAGTACCACCTATGTATATTTAACTCTGAATGTAAATGGCTTAAGCTCAATCAAACATCATAGATTAGTAGACTGGATTAAAAAACAAAACCCATCAGTTTATTGTCGGGAGGAGACACACTCCAACAAAGATCAGCAGAAACTATATCACATGGGTTTTGTTGTCTTCTGTTGGTTTCATCTCTTCAAAACACTTTCTTCTGATTAAATCATTCAATGACTCGTAGATCATGCAGTGGCATCATTTTCTTCAAGAAGGTTCTTGCTTTTCACTTCTTCAGCTACATGTTATACATTTAATAGCATGTTGTTTAACTTCTTGGTGTTGTTAATTTCTTTTTTCTCCTGGAAGTTGATTTTGTTTTGTGGCTCTTCATTTAAGGGGATGTATAGTAGCTGTGTAATGGAGACTGTCATATCTAGTAACATGTCATTTAACTTCATGGCATTGTAAATTTCTATTTTTCTTTCTATTGTTGATTTTGTATCATGACTTTTCATTTAAGGGAATGTACAGTAGTTATGTAATGGAGACTAACAACCGGCTGTGAGGATGCAGTGTGGTTGGCATCTCTGTTTCCAGACAAAGACGGACTTACAGTGAAACTGTTTATATTATATTTTGACAATAGGATTCTGGACTCTCTGCCATTGTCCATGCCCGCAATGATGAACATATGACTGAGTATGAAGAACTATATGTTAATAATGATATAAAGGAACTGGGGGGGAGGGAATTGGGGAGGGGATTGGGGAATATGGAACTGTATCGTAAAATGATAGCAATAATAATAAAATGTGAAAAAAAATCACATTAATGTGAAAAAAATAGCACATGGTTAAAAAGAAACCCTTGTGGGCCCGGCGCGGTGGCGCAGTGGTTAAGGTCCTCGCCTTCACGCCTGGGATCCCATCTGGGCGCCGGTTCTATCCCAGCAGCCCCACTTCCCTTCCAGCTCCCTGCCTGTGGCCTGGGAAAGCAGTCGAGGACGGCCCAAAGCTTTGGGACCCTGCACCCGCATGGGAGACCCGGAAGAGGCTCCTGGCTTCGGATCGGCATAGTATCTGCCCGTTGCGCTCACTTGGGGAGTGAATCATTGGACGGAAGATCTTCCTCTCTGTCTCTCCTCTCTGTATATCCGCCTTTCCAATGAAAAAATAATAATAATAATAAATAAATCTTTAAAAAAAAATAAATCTAAAAAAAAAAAAGAAACCCTTGTGCTTCTATTTTCAGGAATATTTCAAAGCTTGTTATAGAGTATGGCTTAGTGATAAAAAGGAATGTGTGCTGATACATGCTACAAACATGTATGAAACCCGAACATGTTAAATTAGTGAATGAAGCCAGTACAAAAGAATATATATAATGGAATTCCATTTATGTGAAGTGTCCAGAATAGGCAAAATCTATGCAGACAGAATGTAGCTCCATGGTTGCCTAGGACTGAGAAAGCTGCGGGAGGTAGAAGGGAGTTAGCAGCAGGTTAAGCCACCATTGGTGACCCTGGGTCCCATAATGGAGTGCCAGTTTGAATCCTGCTGCTTCCCTGGGAAGGCAGCAGATGGCTCAAGGACTTGGGAGATGTGGCCTGGCTCAGCCCCTTTCATTGTGGCCATTTGAGGAGTGAACCAGTGGCGGGGAAGGTCTCTGCCTCTTCTATCACTCTGCCTTTCAACTCATAAATAAATGGATCTTCAATAATAATAATAATAAGAAGAAGAAGAAGAAGATAGCTGAATCCCATATTGGAGTGCCTGGGCTGGAGATCAGACTCCACTCCCAGTTACAGCTTTCTGCTAATGTAGATCCTTGGAGGCAGTGGATGACAGAGAGCTGCAGTACTGCCACCCAAATGGGAGGCCTAGGTGAAGTTCCTGGCCCCTGACTTTGGCCAACCCCTATATCTTCACTTTTTTATTTTTTCTTTCTTCCTTCTATCTTTTTTTAAGAATTATTTTATTTTTTATTGGAAAGTCAGATACACAGAGGAGAGATTGAGAGGAAGATCTTCTACCCATTGATTCACTCCCCAAACAGCTGCAACAGCTGGAGCTTTGTGAATCCGAAGCTAGGAGCCCAGAGCCTCTTCCTGGTCTCCCACGTGGGTGCAGAGTCCCATGGCTTTGGGCCGTCCTTGACTGCTTTCCCAGGTCACAAGCAGGGAGCTGGATGGGAAGTGGGACCGCCAGGATCAGAACCAGCACCCACCTGAGATCTTGGTGAGTGCAAGGCGAGGACCCCAGCCGTTAGGCTACTGACTGGCCGGGCCCTACATCTTCATTTTTTACAACTGATTTTGAAAGCTGCTAAGTGATGAAGGACTACAACAACCTTGATCAAAGTTTATCTAGTGAATAGGCAGGATAGTGTTAGGCAAAAGAGAATGCACTTTGGGATCAGAAAGACTTACCATTAGGGGCCAGCACTAGGGCAAAGTAGGCAGAGGTTCCTCAATCAGTTAACATGTGGGTGAAGCTGCTTGGTTGTCTCAAGGTATCCTGCCATATTGAGAACAGCTACTGGAGGGTGTGCAGCTGTACTGTGAATCTTAGCTCTAGTCCTGCAAGGATTCAATCAGATTTGAATCCTTGGAGAACAACGGGTTGTTCTTTAGTGAGAAATCTGAACTGAGAAACAAAATGTGTGTGCTGTTGAGTTTATTCTTCCCCGACTCAAAAAGGACAAGGCAAGGACTTACTCTTACACTGTGTGGATTTTTAATTGTTAAAGTCTTTATCTGTATTAGAGGGCAAGAGCGAGCTTCCATCTTCTGGTTCACCCTCCACATGCTGGCAAGAGTCAGGCCTGGGACAGGCTGCAGACAGAGGGGGGGCACCTCAGCCAGGTTTCCCAGGTTGAGTTGCAGGGACCCAGGCCCTTGGGATGTGCGCCGTAGGAAGCTGCTGGCACCGCAGCCTGAACTGGGACCCAGCATTTCAGCATGGGGATGGTGCATCCCAAGCAGCATCTTAACCCCTGTGCCAAATGCCTGCCCTTGAAATGCTCTTCAAAATATGCATACACATTTTTTTGAAATATATGAAATGAGCCTAAATATATACAAATATATTCTTTTTAACAATGGAAAACATCATACACTTAGTAGAGAGTAAAGCATACTGAACTCCAATCTTGGTTCATCAGTCTTATCTGCTGAATGACTTTGAAGCGAATCACGTGTATTTTATCCAAAACATGTCAGTGTGCTTCTGCTTTGTAAAAACACCACAAGCCATTTGCATAGCTGAGCGATCTAACACTTTCCCCGATATCATTAAACGCTTGGTCACAGTGTTGGGTATTCCACAGCCGGTTTCCACAGCTCAAGGCCCAAAGGAAGCAGGACGGAAAAAAGCTCACGGAAAACCACCGTGTATCACCTACACCTTTTAGATAGGCGACAAATTCCCTTTCGGACGCTCCCTGGATTCGTGCTGTTTTTAAAAACACCCCCTCGAAGGCTGGCGGAGGCCGCGGACGTTGAGGCCCGCGCGCACGGCCCGCCGTCCCCGCCGGGACGCGACAGCCGCAGGTCGGTGTGCGGCCTGAGGAGAAGCTTGTGAGGAGGGAGCCGGGCCCCGCGCGCTCAGGCCCTCTCCCGGGGCGCCGGGGTCGCCATGCCGCCCCCTCGGGCGCCCCTCAGGCCTCCGTCCTTGCGTCCCACACCCGCCCTGCGCCGCGGCTGCGGGGGGCCGGGGCGAGCCGAGCGGGGGGCGTCGGGGCCGGGGCCGAGCCGAGCTGGCACCCCGTCTGGCTGGAGGCGTGCAGGGTTTCCTTACCTGCTGGCGTGGGGAGCGCCCCCCGTAGCCCCCCTTGACCTCTTCTCCCTTCAGGGTTGCCACTGGCTATGGCTGCCGCGAACATTTCCAACTACAGCGAGTATTTCCGGCCCGAAAAGTTAAAAGAATGGCCGGAGCCCGAGTTGGTGTCTTTAATGGAGGTACAGACACGTGGGACGTGATTTCGGGTGCGGCGGTCGGTCGAGAGTTGAGGGGCGCTGCGCTGTAGAACCGGGCTGGATCAGGGCGTGTGAAGGGGCTGGGGTCGTTGGCGTGTCCGGGTCCCCACGGGCGGGGGCGGAGAGGCCAGGGGAGGGCTTGTCCAGGTGTGCTGTTGGCTGAGGCTGGGCTCGGCCTGCTGTGAAGGCCCTTTGGTAATCGCCTTTTGCTGCCTTGGTGTGAGGCGTCAGAAGAGGCTGTTGTCGTGTGTGCGTGCTCACGGGGCGCGCAGAAGCCTTGCGACCCTGCACCCGCGTGGGAGACCTGGAAGAGGCTCCTGGCTCTTTGCTTCAGATCGGGTCAGCTCTGGCTGTTGTGGTCACTTGGGGTGTGAATCATCAGATGGAAGATCTTCCTCTTTGTCTCTCCTCCTCTGTGTATATCTGACTTTCTAATAAATTTTTTTTAATCTTAAAAAAAAAAAAACCTTGTGGCGATGGAGTCAGATTTAATCAACTGAAACAGTCCTGGGAGGAGTTAAGCCCAAACTACGGACGGGAGCCCGGAGAGCCCTGATGTGCTCCATGTCAGAGCAGGAGGCCTGGAGCCGCAGCTAAGTAGCTGGGAGATGCTGGGCTGGACAAGCTAACACAGCCTCTGTGGTTTTAGCTTGAGTGGAGAGGCATCCAAGGCTTAGAAAAATCAGAGGTTATTTAAAACATCCCTGCCGAAGGCTTGACAAGAGGATTCGTTTCATGGAGAATCTCCTTAATTAGTAAGCTTTTTAGTAAGAGACTAATTTCAAATAATAATTAAGGGACTTGAATTGATAGTTGTTGATCTCCCATCCTCTGGTTCACTCCCCAGATGGCCACTGTGGCCACAGCCGAGCCAGAGGGAAGCCACAGGAAAGGCTACTAGAAGAATGGCTTTTGAAATCTCCTGTGTAAAAATTGACAAAACATGCTTTTAGATTGTATGTAGCAACTTTGCACTAAGCTGATTGGTAACGTACTCTGAGCTTTTTGTTTGTTTTTGTCATTTTCACATGCTAATATTGTGTCATTTTAGGTATTGGCTAGAGAAGACATTGATGAAGCTGTCCATGCAATATTATTTAGAGAAAATTACGCTGTGAAGGTAAGAGCTGACTGCAGGCTGTGTGCGCTAGCTTTGTTCTGGCAGAGCAAGAGTGGTGCGGAGTGGCTTGGCTAAGAGATGGCATCTCCACCTGACAAAGACGCACTTTTGCAGCGGAAATGGGGCTGCCTTGATTTCCTCACCCACACTACAAAGATCTGAGTTTGTGCCACCTTCTTGTACTGCCGGAGTCCAGCTCCAGCTGAGTTCGGAGCTCGAGAAGGGTGCGTGAAGTAGGCGTAGAAAGAAGAGACGGACCACTACAATTCCAACATCATTGTGGACCCCGCGAGAAAGCTGTCTGCTTTATTTATACAGAAGCAGTACACAGTCTTTTTTAGGGCATTTTGACATGGCTTCAAGAGGGGCACAATTTACAACTGCTTGAGAGGCGAGTGAGGGAGGACCCCACATTCTTTGCTTATCTCGGCTTGCCAGCCCCTACTTACTTCCCTCAAGTCTGGGTCCCATCCTTGGCACTGCCTGTGACAACCAGACCCCTACCTTGAATTACGCATGGGAAAAGGGCTGAGACCTTGGTTTATGGGGATTAGGGTATTGGTACCAAAGGTCATTAGGTCTGCAGGCCCACACAGTTTGCTAACTAAGCAAGAGTTACAACGACGGAAGGAACTGCAATTAGCAATGAGCCATGTTTACTCCATTTAGGTTTCTGCTCTACAATGGGCAAGTAAATGTTTCCAAAGATAACTCTACAGATAGTTTCACCTTAAGACAGGACATTATCCATTCTGATGTTGCAGCCAACATTTTCTCAGTAGACAACACATCTTATTCAGTAATACATTCCTACTACAATTCTTATTCTATAACTTATCCATCACTTAATGAGAGAAATACATCAAAAGAGAAAAAATATAAAAATCTAAGACAAAAGTTTCAAACATTAAATCCCTCTACAACTGCAGGCTCTACAACCTCATAAATGATCAAACAATAATCATAAGTATACATGATGTTGGTAAAGTCACCCTATATTTCCTCTAGTTAAAAAATTATGAAGGCAGCCAAAGCAACTACATTTACTATGTTCTAAAGAGTTGAGAGTTGCAAGGACAGGCTAACCTTTAAGGTCACAGTAGCTATATTTTGCCATAGCAGGATAGCCTTTAGGGTCACAGTAACTATACTTTTACCATAGCAGGATGGCCTTTTGGGGTCACAGTAATTATAACAGGCTAACCTTTAGGGTCCCAGTAACAGGATAGCTATATTTTTTGTCATAGCAATTTCAACCCATATTCCCATCACTTCCATTAGTTTGTGAAACTCTTATCAGGCCATTTCCCAGAAAGCATGCTAAATATTTGGGCCAGATCTCAGAGCAATGGTTAGGCACACAATAAGGTGTCTGGAAACAGCATGGGCTTAATTGTACTCCTATGCGCAGTTAAAGGCCCACTCACCAAGACATTATCAGTAACATTAACTTTTAAGCTCATGTTGGTTGTAAAAGCCATCTTACAGGGGCAAACTATGCCTAATAGATTGCAGAATTCTTAGTGGGGTGGTTGAGTGTCCATGCAAACAGGGGGTGAGACTGCGTCAAGGTGGTCAGAGAGAAATCCGCCGGGCCCTGCCAAACAGCTGTAAGCTCCCCCAGGCCCTGCCAAGCAGGGGAGCTGTTCTCTTCACACCTTCATGTCATCCATACCTACTGCACAGACCCCAGCATTGTACTATCTCCGGGAGGATCTTACTTGCATCTTTCCTTTACGGATCTGAGAAATTGTTCTAATTGTGCCTCCTTTATGTCCTTATAATAATTGGCATTTTTGTTTCCTACCAAAGTTGCCTCTTTTCTCATATGTTCCCACATGGTGGTATTATAGAGAGCCTACATCAAACCACTGGCAATGAATATTTGAAGATAAGGACCATTCAGTAATTGATAGTCACTAATTGATGGAACTAATACATGGACAGGGACTTGATTGGGCCCAGTATGATGGCTCAGTGGCTAAATCCTCACCTCTCACATGTTGGGATCCCAATGAGCACCAGTTCATGTCCCACTGGCCCTGCTTCCCTTCTAGCTCCCTGTTTGTGGCCTGGGAAAGCAGTAGAGGATGGCTCAAAGCCTTGGGACCCTGTACCCACAGGGTGCAGGAGATCCAGGAGAAGCTCCTGACTCCTGGCTTTGGATCAGCTCAGCTCTGGCTATCGTGGTCACTTGTGGAGCACATGGAAGATCTTTGTTTTTCCTCTCTGTAATCTATCTTTCTAATAAAAATACATGAATCTTTTTTAAGAATCACAGATTTATATTAAAAAGGGGGGCTTGATTCATTCTTCTAGAAAATTTTATTCACTTACTGCCATTTTATTTGGAAGGCAGAGAGACAAACCAAACTTCCATTTGCTGGCTTACTTCCCAAGTGCCTGCCATAGCACTTGTCTAAGCTGAAGCCAGGAGGCAGAGACTCAATCCAGATCTCCTGCTTGGTTGGCAGGAACCCAGGTCTTTTCAGCCCTCACAGCTGTCCTGCAGGTGCACATTAGCAGGAAGCTGGATCAGAAGCAGAGCAGCCAGGACTCGAACCTGGGTACTCTGATGTGGGATGTGGGTGTCCCAGGCCTGTCTTCATTGCTACACCAACCACGCCCATCTCGGGTGGGGTTTCCTTTCAATGAGCAGAACATGAGAGTTGATATTATAATAATATTGTGATGTTTGCGGTTTATCATTTATAAAGGAAGTACGCATGTATCGTAGGTGGGGTTCCCCTCCTGTCTCACAGATGGAGAGGTGCACCGGCCAGTGCAGCACTCCTTGTACTCCACCAGTGTTGTCACAGCTGCTGCTGGTGTGCAGCTAGCTAAGAACCAGGGGGAGCACGGAATGCTTTGAAATCCTCAGGAAGAACGGTGTGAGTGAGGAATGGTTCCGTGCCATCCCTGATCCCTGACTTAGGCGCAGCTCCCTCTGATGGCGCAGGGTGGGGTAGAACTTTCTGTGAGTTCTGACAGCTGCTCTGGGCTCGCATGCTCCCTGCTATCTTGGCCTGGCTGCTGCTGTGGTCCAGATTTTGCAACTCAAACCCTGAGAGCTTAGGAGGGGAACTAGAATGCTAGTCTCATTATTCAAATGACAATAGGGACTTTTCTTTAAGAACTTGTCTCCCCTGTCTGTATCCCTTCCTTAGCGACTGGATGCTTATATTCAGAACCTGGATATTTTTAAGGAAAGAAGAAAAGAGATGTTACATAAAAAATGGGTCCAGAATGTCGCCAGTCCTCTTCAGCAGAGAATTATGGAAAAAGTAATTTCGGGTAGAAGAATTGAAAAGATGAAACAAGAGAATTTTGAGCTTTTCTTAAAGCACACCAATAAAAGGGTACTAAACTTTTCTTTCTTTTTTTTTTTTTAAATAAAGTGTGATTGAAGAGTTAGTCCAATACTTTCACTGGTTTGACAGACAGTCCCTAAACCCATTTTTGTATTTAAAATAAATTAATTGAGTTGTAATCCATCTAGTAGCCTTTAGAAGCTGTGTATTCAGGGAAAGGTGGGGTAGAGTGGCTTCCCTGGGTCTTGCAGAACAGTTCATATGTCATAGTTTTCTGTAAGGTGTATTTTTCTTTTCTCTCCTAAAGGAAACTGCGTGCGGAGACCATCATATTCCTGAAGCGTATGACCCTTATTATATGAAGAAAAAGAACCCGAATTATGGAAAGGTATTAAAAGTTTACTTGTTCATTTTAGGAGGCCTGAGGTTGAAGAAAACTTAGGTGTTTTGGTAGTCTTGTAGTTATTCTTTCTTCATTAAAAAGACAACCTGCAGAAGTCTTTCCCCTGAGCAGAAAGTCTTTTCCTGAGCAAAAAATCGAAGAAATTTAGGCTAACTAGGAATGGACGTGGGAAATGAGGTGAGCATGGTGCAATGCTTTGCTCTTAGGTTTCTTGTTGAATTGCTCACATTCAGCGACATTGCAGCACCAGGGACAGACCTGTAGGCACCAAGCAAGTGTCGGCAAGGAGCACAGGACTTTCCCCGGGCTGTCCCAGGACCAGTAGACTCAGGAGGGGTGGCAGCAGTGTCTGCTACCAGAGCAGTCTCCCATTTGTAAATCAGCAGAAAATGAGTCGAGAGCTGTACATTTCTCCTTTTTGCTTGTTTAGCCACCTGATGCTATTAGTAATCTTAAAAATAGATCTGGCTCTGGAGAGAGAAGTGATTTATTTCCTTCTCCCAGGAAACCAAGCACATCGTTCATGTGAAGGTGGAAATGTTCCCCCTGCCTGTGGGTGGAACATCCTTGTCTGTCTGGGGTGGGAGGCAGACCCCGCTGCGCTGCCCTGTTGGTTGCATGATTGTTTTCCTAGTACTTGGGACCCAGCAATGTGTAAGTGCTGTGGAGGGGGAATGAAGGAAAAAAAAACAAGCTTCCTGCCTGGGGCTCATAAGGCCCGGGAGAAGGGAGAGTTGCCACGTGTGTTGCCACCCCTTGAGACCAACTCCTGCTTCAGTCACCTGCCCTTGTGGTATTCTAAGCCTTTACAAGCCCGCTGTCAGCTTCTGTGTCTGTCTTGTGTGGTCCAGACCCAGGCATCTCTGAGGACAGGTCCTGGCCTGGCTGGGACCCACAGTGGGTCTCAGTGGCTCTGGAGTGACTGGGGACACCAGCTGTCCCCTCCCTTCCCTGTCACATCTCGCAGGAGGCAGGTGTTAACCCCCCACCACCCTAGGCACTCATAGTGTTCATGGCTTTCTGGTTTTGGCTGTGTTGGTGTACAGTAAATGTGAATGCTTAGGATAGATTTAAAGAGTTTAGGACAACCTCAACTTGGGTTGTCAGAACTTGCTATTACTGTGTAGGTCACAGTCCCACCATTTTCTGACCCTCTGTTCCGAAGACAGCAAGAGACAGAGCAGGAGAAGAGAGAGAACCTTCAGTATGAGACAGGTGTGTTATGGATCCCAGGGGTCTCCCGCCCAGAGCCATTGGTATGGTCTGTATGAAAAAAAATTTTTTAAAAAACCTTTTTCAATCTTGTTTGCAGGAAAGCGGTATTCTGTGAAAGAATTCAAAGAACTAGAGAAGGCCAGGCTGCAGGTCAGGCTTCCACAGTTCACGTTCACCCTGCACAGTGCGGTCCCCAGAGGACGGCGTCCAAGCTCGGTGAGGCCTGCACGAAGCAGCACTCGGGGAAAATTCAGGTGCAGAGTCCAGGGGCACGTGCCTGCTTCCTCGCTTCCCTTGCAGCTGGGCTGTTTCCTAACATACATGTTACGATGAGTCTTACCGTCTGTTAGGGATCTGTCATTTTGTTATGATTACCATCAGCTTTCTGGTATGAGGAGAAGAGTGTACAATACTGAACCACTTAACAACCCCCTAGCCAGTCATCTGGTGAAATCACCATGTGGGTCGGAAAGTGAACCTGTGCCCTCGTCGGGATAGGCTCCCAAGCCGTCTGCATTCTGTAAGGTCCTTGCTTTCCCTATAGTTACCAACTAGTTTTGCTCCCTTCAAATATAGCTTATTTTTGCCTAGTTTTGAATTTCATGGAAGTGGAAGCTTAAAGCATTTATTACTACCAAAATCCGTTTATTTGAAAGGCAGAGTAACAAAGGCAGAGGGAGGAAGAGAGAGGAAGGGGTGATGGAGAAATTCTCCCATCTGTTGGTTCACTCCCCAGTGGCAAGAACAGTTGGGTCTGGGCCAGGCCAGGGTCGGGAGCCAGGAAGTACATCTGAGTCTCCCACACAGGTGGCAGGGACCCCAGGACTTGGGTCAGACTCTGTTGCCCTCACAGGTGCATTCACAGGGAAGCTGGATTGGAAGCAGAGGAGCTGAAACTTCAACTGGCACTCCTCTATGGGTTACCCGTGTGCCAAGCCAAGCTTAACCCGCCATGCCACAGTGCCAGCTCAAAGCATCTTTTCTTTTGTGACTGAGTTATTTATCTGAAGATATACTTATTTATTTGAAAGTAACAGAGAGAGGGAGAGACAGAGAGACCAATCTTCCGTTCACTAGTTCACTGCCCAGATGGCCATAACTGCCAGCATTGCACCAGGCCTGAAACAGGCAGCCAGGAGCTTCGTCTGGGTCTCCCATGTGGGTGCAGGGCGACCTTAACGGCAAGTCAGCCTGGTTACCCCTCCCGCCCTGCTAGGTTGCTGCACGTTGGTGAGGGAGATCATCGGCCTGTGAGAGTACTGGCCTGTACACACGAGCTCCCTGTGGGCAGGGACAGGAGCTCCCAGCAGGCAGCTGGAAGGAAGTGGACAAGACGTAAATGCCTGTTGACTGAAACACCTGTACAAAGGAGAAGGCCTGTCTCCTCAGCTGGGGCAGCCACGTGACAGCTGAGCACAGGGTATAGTGACAGGCCCAGCAAGCTCCTCCTGTGGCTTTTCCTGAGGAGGAAAAGGCCTCACGGGCCAGCCAGGAGACAAGTCAATGACCGTTTGATTACAAAGATGAAGGCTTCTCCAGGAGACCAAGAGGCTGTGGGCTGGGGACCTGATAATGCTGGACAGCTCGGTGCGTCGTGGAAGCCAAGACCAAGGAGAAAGTGAGGCTGGCCGAGGACCCAGAGGCCATCTGCTTCCTCTCGCCATTGCTTGTCTGCGACCCTCCTCCTGTCAGGCTTTTTCTGCTTCCCTGTGAGAGACTGGAAAGTACATGGCCCCGTCCAGCCTGACTTCAGCTCAGGACACTCGGAGGCTGCATGGGAGCCCTCTGCCCCAGAGACTGCAAAGACCCTTTGCCCTGCAACTGCCCATGAGGTGTGCCAGCACACAACCCCCATGGAGTTTAGGGACAGCCACAGGCATTTCTAGTCAGCCTTCCTTTTTCTTTTTTTAAGGTTCATTTATTTTTATTGTAAAGTCAAATATACAGAGAGGAGGAGAGACAGAGAGGAACATCTTCCGTCCATTGATTCACCCCCAAGCAGCCGCAATAGCTAGAGTAGAGTCATTCCGAAGCCAGGAACCAGGAGCCTCTTCTGGGTCTCCCACGTGGGTGCAGGGTCCCAAGACTTTGGGCTGTCCTCAACTGCTTTCCCAGGCTACAAGCTGGGAGCTGGATGGGAAGCAGGGCTACCGGGATTAGAACCAGTGGGATCCCGGGGCATTCAAAGCGAGGGCCTTAACCACTAGGCTACTGTGTTGGGCTCATCAGCCTTCCTTTTTATTGTGTAAGTGTTCAGGTCACAAAATTTTTTTTTTCAGATATTTAAAAAATATTTATTTGAAAAACAGAGCGATAGAGATACTGAGATCTTCCATCTGCTGATCGACTCGGCAGGTTTCCATAGCAGCCAGGGCTAGGCCTGGCCATAGCTGGGGGCGAGAAACCCTACCTGGGTCTCCTACATGGATGGGAGGGGTTCTGGTACTCCCTGATGCAGCAGCAGGAAGCTGGAATCAGAGCTGGGTGTTCTGTGTGGGATGAGGTGTCCCAGGTGGGCATTTGACTTGCTGCACCACAGTGCCTACCCCTTCAGAAGCTCCCACTTGGCACTTAGTTGAGATCATTTTTTTCCTTCTTTTCTTTACAGTCCCAAAAAGCTGCCCTGTGCAGAAAAGCCTCCTCCGCCCGCGGAAGAGGTCACCGACGTGAGCCAGCTGGCTTTTGAGAGGCAGTTTCTCTCCTCAAAGCTCTGCCGGGGGCTGAGAGGGGCTGAGCACAGGAGTCTGGTGAGCAGGGTTGGGGGTGGGGAGATCACAGGGCTCAGTGTGTGTGGGGTACAGCCAAGGAGGAAGGGAGGGAAGGGAGGGGACAGGAGAACCCCGTAGTTGGCTGCTGCCAGGGCCCCTGTGGCAGGCACCTCATGTGGAGCCACCCAGGAGAAGGTAAATGCAGGCGCCTGGGCCTCACTGCAAGGGGCAGATACGCCCTTCAGGGTGAGGTGCACCTGGCCCAAGGCGCAGACCTGCCCTTCGGGGTGTCGTCCACCTTAAACCTGAGCTGCTGCCCTCCACCTTGGTCCTTCCGCTGCCTACAGAATCCAGACGAGACCACGCACCTCTTCTCCCTGCGTGAGTCACTGATAGGTGACTCTGATATTTCGAAATGAAATTTATGACCTCCTACCCCCTCTCCCTCCCCCAAATCACACACACACAAAGGCCAACAAAACAAAACAAAACAACCCAAAGAGAGACAGAGTTTGGCTCTTCAGAGGCAGGCCTCCTGAGCTTGGGGAGTTTGTGCCTTTCGGCTGGCCGCTCCGTGTTCCTCCCACCCCCGACCAGGTGAGCATCTTTCCGCTCCGTTTCCATGAGTGATTTCTTTAGTTTCACGTGTCAGTGAGGCGGTGCGGCATTTTGTCTCTCTGTGCCTTGTTTGTCGGACTCCCAGTGCATTCGTGTCATTGCAGATGACAGGGACGCCCCGTTGAGTACGTGTACCGTTCATCTGCTGACAGAGCCTCGGGCTTCCAGTATCTCGGCTGTTGTGAATAATGTCGCAGTGAACATGCAAGTGTAGATACTTTTGGAGGTTGTGGTTTTGTTTCCTTCAAATACATATGCCTAGAAGTGACACTGCCCGAGTGCATGGTGGTTTTATTAATTTGCTTGAGACATCTCTGTGCTGTTTTCCATAAAGACTGCACCAATTTGCATTCCATCAGAAGCATCTTCAGGTTCCCTTAGCTCTTTATCCTCACCAACTCTTGCCATTTTTTAAACATTACTTATTTGAAAGGTGGAGTTAAGAGAGGGAGAGGCAGAGAGATAGAGAGAATCTCCTATCTGCTGGTTCATTCCCCAAATGGTCCCAATGGCTGGTGCTGGGCCAGGCTGAAGCCAGGAGCCTGGAACGTCTTCTTAGTTCCCCCTGTGTGCATGGGCTTAGGCACTTGGGCCATCTTCCCCTGCTTTCCCAAACACATTAGCAGGGGGCTGGGTTAGAAATGCAGCAGCCAGGACATGAACCGGCACTCACATTTCCCTGATAATTAGTGAAGTTGACTATATTTTCATGATCACTTAATATGTCTTTGGAGAAATACCTACTGAGGCTCTTACTTCATTTTTAAAATGAGGTTCTATTAGTACTTGTACTATGCAGTTATTTAAGTTCCTTACATATTTTGGGTGTTAACCCCTTCTTGGATACATGGTTTGCACATTTTCTCCCATTCTTGGGTTGTCTGTTCATTTTGCTGTTTCCTGAATAGAAGCTTCTAGTTTGATCTGGCTCCACTTGTTTCTATCAGATCTTATTGTGAGTGCAGTCAGTTCTGTCCTTCTGGTGGGGTAGGCTTGTTTGCTGCCACCAGGAGATCCAAAAAGCAGGTGGTGGTTTAAATGTAGAGGCTTACAGGACTCATAGCCAGGTAGATTGGCAGGTCATTGGGTTTCCCCTCTTCATGCATCTCAGGGTCCTGTCAAATGGGCTTGCTTATTTATTGTCAGCACCTGGCTTCCCAGGTGAGCCCAAGGAGCCCATTCCCGTCAGCCTGAGGGACACCATCTTGGTGGTGCAGGTGGGCAAGGCTTGGAGGTGGCCTCCATCACCTCCTTACATGTTATATGGGCTAAGGACCAATGCATGGCACCCCACCTATAGAGTACAAGGGTGCTGTGGTCTGCTGTGGTCTGTGGAGTCCCAGGACACAGAACCTCAGGTGGGAGGTGAGAGGGTTGTGGGGTTTCCTGTAGCAGAAGGGCCGGTGTGGGGCTGGATCTGGGAGGAAACAGAGTCCTTCTCTTCCATCAGCAGGTGTCAGGAGCCAGACAACAGAGACCTCGCTCCTGGGCACCCGGGGACTGCAGACAGAGAGGGACAGCGCCACCTGTGCAAAGAAGAGTGATGACGGCTGAGCACCTGGGCGAGCACCTGGCCGCACTGCAGGCAGCAGTCCAGCAAGGCTGCAGTGGTGTGTGTTAAAAATATGGTTAAAATATTGCATTGGTGTTTTCTTTTTCCATAAGTGGAAATATTGCAAAAAGTATTCAAATAAAAATAAGGGTTTTGAGCTCATGCATTGAAATGGGAACCACATGAGTGAGGTATTTGCATTCTCTGGAAAGTGTTAATGATGTGGTCATTTTATGACATTACGCTGAGGGGCCTGGTGGCTCCTGGTGGCTTTCTCAGGCAGCTCTTCAGAGCACAGGTTCACTCACCCAGGGCAGGCTCCGACCGGCCAGAGGCTGCGAATGCCACTGCCCTGTTGGGGTCTCACTGCCCAGGTACATGTTAGGGGCCTCAGCAAGGGAGGCACCCCAGACATACAAGGCACATCTGCTCAGTCCTCCTGTGTCTTGGGGCACTTTCTGCTGTCCCCATGTCCTGCAGGATCAGGCACTAGGACAGTGTGCCCAGAGTCCCCTGTAACCTTAGACGTCACTGGACTCGGGTCCCACAGGCCCTTTTTCTTAAGTCTCCACCCAGAGACTGACCTACCCAGGGGTGAAGGCAGCCTGAGCCACAGTCATCCGGTGGGAATTAAGGCCCCACAGTCCAGGAGACAGAAGGACCATTCTGCAGCTGTGATCCCTCACCTCCCCAGAACCAGTAAACTGCCCAATCCAGCCGGGACAGCCTCATGTCTGAAAACCAGGACTCTGACAAGTCCACACCTGGCTATGGAACCACTAAAACACGCTCCCCAGAGTCCAGGGGGTGGTCAGCAGGTGCTTTGCTCAGTGAGGCGGTTCTGAGCAGGCAGAGCTGCAGAAGAGAACAGCAGGTTCACTTGTTTGGTTTTACATATTGAACAGTGTCTTATTTATGGGTAAACTTTAACCGCTCAGTGCCCGAGATCAGTACCTGGAGTGTTAAGTGATGGACTCTTGAGTCTGGATATAAGCTGTGCTTCCTAGCGCTGCTGTGTCGGTGACCAGGCTTGGACAGAAGCAGGGCCTTCGGGGCATGCTCCAGCCTTGGGCCATTTGACTCCTGCCTGGTTCTTCCAGCTTCCAGCAGAGGGAGCAGGGCTCCTGCAGCCTGGGGGGCCGCCTCAGAAGCCAGGAATTTAGCATAAAAGACCTTGTTTTCAGCACCATCCAAAACAGACTTCACATTTGCAACCCAGAGGCCCAGCCAGCATCCCAGACAGGCGTGGCTGTGGCCTTGGCCCGACAGGGGCCTGTCAGGCAGCCAGGGCCTTGGAAGCTGGAGGGGCACTGCTGACCCTGCTAAGTCACCTGGAGGTTTCCACTCACGGAGGCCAGGTGTGCATCCAGGGGAGCCCCTGGGTCGCCTGTTCCGGCCCCACCCCTCAGTTCCCCCACATTGAGCCAGGGGAGAAATCTGGTTTCCTCATGAGCAACCTCCAGAATCCCCATTCCAAAGCAGATCTCAGGGAAGTCAATCAGGCCCACCTTGTGACATTCATAAACTTTTATTCTCTTTCTGTACATATTGGCAATGATCAAGCTTAAGGATGCATGGCCTATGAAATATGCAAAACATGAATTTACATAAATAATTTATACTTCAGAAAATTAAAGTTGAAAAATATTTTCCACATTATTAGAGTTCACAGTATTTAAAGGAAATCAAGCTTCTCTCTTATATTTCAAACTGTATTGTCTTAGCAGAGGATGGTAAAACCTGACCAGGATAAAATGATCAAGTTTCGGCTTTTATTCAGTGCACGAGTAGATGCGATTTCTGAATGGGCTCCGCAAGCAAGGGGGCCATGGCATTTTATCCCACCTCTCTAACGTCCTGAGTGGCTGTGTCCACGGAGTCCCTGGACGTGGAATGGTTCCAGCTTCACCAAGCCACTCCAGAGTGGACATGTTCAACCAGCGTCTGGCGGTCTGATGCCTCGTTTCCACGTGATACTTGTTTACAGCCCTGAACATGGAAACCCTGGCATCTAAACACAGCTGAACACGGGAACACTAATCCAAGGCACTGTGCTACGGGGTTGCTTTATTGATAGGAAGGCTCGTGGTTGCATAGATTGCTAGCGAGTTAGTGTGCAGTGTGAGGCCCCAGGGGCGTGGGGCTCGATGAACAAAGGAAGCCGCAGGATGCTCCTCCAGCTGCAGGTCCATCGCTGTGGGCAGATCCGCGTCCTCTACAGGAGAGGCTTTTGCTCAAAAAGCTGCAGGTCGAGGCGGACCCAGACTTCTCCAGTGGGAACCTCATGCAGCAGCAGCCGGCGGGTCGTGGGGCCCTTGCCATCCTGTTCTGTTCGGATTTTTGCCACTGGAATTTCAGTACGACCCAGGAAATCTGGTGAATAAACGCCATGGGACAGTTCAATATCTTTAAAAACTGTTAACCTCAGGAAGAGTGAAATAGGGTTTGCAGAACTCTTGAAAGCTCAGGCTAGCAACTTCTGAGACTCCTGGCTATGAGCAGGCATGCCTGGGTGTGTGTTGGGTGACAGCCAACTGTGTGAGAGACATTGCCCGGGAGGCCTCGGTGGGACAGGGCTGCACCTGCCTGGTGTGCACCAGGAGCTCAATGTCCATCTTGGCATGTGAGTGGAAACTGCCCCGGTGAGCTGGTGCAGGCCTGTATCACTCCACTTGGTGACTGGAGCACCTGAATTGAGACCCGGGTCCTGGAAAACCTTTCTATCCCCTGCCAGGCCTCACTATTCCTGAGCACCTGTAGGAGAGGGTTCCGGGACTCTTCCCTTCTACTGAACTGCTGGGTGCTCACACTCCTTTATCAAACAGCATAATGTCTGTACGCGACCTCCACACACCCTTGTGTACCCTTTGACCCACCTGTAGCTTCCACGTAATCCCTAACATGGTGACAGTGTGCTGTGAGTACTCTGCACACAGTATCGCTTAGGGAATAATGCCACGGGAAAAGCTGGCTTGTTCAGGCCAGACGGAGTTTTCCTTTTCTCCAAGATCTTTTCAATCCACGGGAGGTTGGCTTAGCACATGCAGAACCTGTGGATATGGGTGGGGACTGACCACACTCACCATCTGGGGAAAACTGGTCTCGGTCGAACATGGTGAGACACAGCACGTCTTGGTAAAGGTCCTTGATGAAGAACTGGCAGTTGAAATTCCACTTGGGATTCAGGGTGTCCTGGAGGGTTCTGGTGGTGTAGCTCTGAGAGCCCATGCTGACCTCACAGTAGGGGTTGCTCTTTCCTATACAAAACAAAGCAGGGGGACAGGTGGCACCAGGAAGTGAGATGCACGACTGAGGGCTCCTCTGGGGCAGCTGAGGAGCCCCAGTAGTCCCAGTAGCCCCAGGAGCTGCTGCTGGGCTCCTGACTGCCCCCGCTCTGAGGATCAGGTCCCCAATGCTCTGGACATGGCTGTTGAGTATGCACAAGGTACTGCTTCAGGCTGCAGACCTGTAGGGAGTGCCTCTCACTGGGCGGTGGCGGTACCATGGTCCAACCAAACTAGTTCATACAGAGTTCATACAGACTGACTTAAGCTTCGTTGTTTATTGACTTGAGCAACAGACGATGGAGTCAGAACTCCCATCTGCTACTTTACTCCTTGAATGCCTGCAGTGGCCAGGGGTGGGATGGACCAAAGTCAGGA